TCACAAATTAAACAAATAAAATCACCCAAAATTGGTGTCAAAATAAAAACCCAACTCGGTCTACGTAGGCAAACATACGAACAATTTCAAACCCAATTAACAAACACAACTACACCGATCACCCAGGGCTCCTCAACACCGAACCGATCGAGGCATACAAATATTGGACTAAGACTTATACCCCAAACAATCGAACAAACTACGATATAAAATACTAATGTTAGACAAAATAAAAAATCGAAAAAGGTCTTACTTTTTTTAGCTTGTCTTTGGGGATGAGAGTGGGTCAGTTATTTTCTTCACCATTTTTGCACCGATCGTTCGATACTTGATCACCGAGCGTTGGAGAACATTGGTTCACTTGAAAATGGAAGATGTAGGGTTTAAAATCGGGATGAGGAGAGTTATGGGAGGTCTTTCTGTCTAAACTCCTGTTAAATCGTAAGTAACTGTCTTAATTTTACTATTTTTTTTTAATTCGAAAAAAAAAAAAGTACTCGATATTTAACTAGAAGTATATAAAATTATAACGAGGGTAGAGCGGGAAGTAATGTAGGTATATATTTCAACATTAGAAGTATTTATTAATCTATTTCGAGTACTTGTTGTGTTTACAACGGTGAATTAAGAGAAAAAATAAATTGGGGAGTTATAATAAACCTAATCTATAAAGTAGGGACCGCAGACTAATTAATTTTCAAGAGGGACTGATTTACAAGTGAATTTTACTGACAGGGACTTTAGTCCAAGTCTCCCTTATTATTATTATTATACTTAAATATTGGCACCTGAAGTGTTTTAGTAACTGTACTTGGGTTTGAATTTTAATTTATATAGTTCTTTCGGATGCTATATAAAAAATAATAATAATAATAAAATATAATTAATAAATAATTTAAATTATCAAATTTAAAATAGGCTTAAAATATATAATTTATTTTTAAAAAATAAATGAAGTGACAAAATATATGACATAAATAGACAGAGTATAATATATTGGGTTTGTTTAAGTGGGACGGAGTTTATTACTCCCTCCGATCCAGATACCATGTCACGTTGCCGTGTATGTCCGTCTCACATACCATGTCACTTTATTTTTTTGGAAAATGATTACACATTTTAATTTCATTTTAAAAATTTTAATTTAATTTTTTTAATTTTAATTAAACTAATTAGTTATCTTAATCTTAATTTATAATTATTTATATTATAGGATAATTATTTTCACTAATATATTCTTAATTATCTACTAATTATACCCTTCCTAAAATACAGTGTTTACGGTGGTATCTGGGACGGAGGGAGTATTATTATTATTATTATTATTATTATTATTATTATTATTATTATTTTTATATAAGGATTTTAAAAGGTTTGTTTTTTTAGTTTTGGTTTAAATATTATTTTTGGTTTAATATTTTTAAGGAAATATTGTACTCCCCGTCCATTATAAATTGTTCATTTTATGTATTTATGTCTATTCAAAAATTTTCTTTTAAAAAAAAATATGATTATACATTAATTATATTTTAAAAATTTTATAATTTATAACTTATTTAATTTTAATTAAATTATTTAGTTGTCTTAATTTATAATTATTTTTATTATATAATAATTATTACTAATAATATATTTTTTAATTATTTACTAATTATATTTTACTTAAATTTTCTTGTCTACAATAATATGGACATTTTAAATAGTAATAAAATATATTTCTTCCATCCGAATTAAATATATTTATTTTGCTATTTTTTTAATCCAAGTAAAAAGAAAATCATTAATAAAAATATCTTCTAAATAATCACCAAAATAATTATACTTTTAATACTCTTTTTTTTTTTAATTCTACTGCAACTAATATTATGGGTAAAATAGATTTTATATTTCACTATTATACAACACATTTATAAACTATTAATTTGAAGATTAGGTGATGCGATTGGAGAGATAAATATATATTTATTTTTTATTTAAGTGATACGATGAGATAAAGTGAATTTTATATTTATATATTATAAAAACATAATTATTGATTTTTAAATTTAAAAATATTGTAATGAATTTGAGACATAATTAAAGAAATGTGGCGGGATGTTTAAAAAGGAGGGAGTACGTTTTAATAAAAGAAAAAAAAAAATCATTACCAAACACATCCAAAAATACTATAGAAAAAAAAAAAAAAAAAATTGAACGTAAGAACTAATAGAAAATAAAGTTTTTTTTTTTTTTAATGAGTTATGAATTTACCCGTACACTATACTACATGTGTGTTTTCTTATCAAACCTTACTTAATTTTTACTATTCATCAATTTTTTTTCTAAAAAAATATTAAATCATATATCTCTTTTTAATTTTTTATATTACACTTAAAAAATAATTTTATATTCAAAATATCACATTAAAATCTATATCATATAACTATTTTAATTTAAAATATTTACTATTAAAAAACCTATTATATAATTCCTAAAAATTAGGAACCTTTAGTTTTGTTGTGTGTTGATTATTCAGCTTGTCATTGCTTATTTGACTTATTGTTAAATTTGTTGACTAGTCAACATATTTGATCCATCTTTCACTCTGCATGCTCTCCCACATTCTAATTTAATTAAAAATTAATTGATAGTATTTGTTACACAAATAAATAATAATAATAAAATACTCAAAAGGCAAGTCAAAGTCTAACAAATGAAAGAAATACTATTTTTTTTTAAATTTCGAATAAATACTAAATTATTTTATTTTAACGACAGGAAAGCTTCCCATTATACACAACTTTTTTAAATGATGTCTGAAATCTACCTTATATACAAATATTAAAAAAATGTATTAAAGTCCGATTCACATTTAAGCATTATTTATATCAAATATTTATTATTAAAATTGAAAAACAAACAAATTAAACATTTCTTTTGTTTTGTAACTATATTTAATTCTCCATTTGTCTCAATAATATAGTCTCGTTACGTTGAACAGAAGATTTAAAAAATATTAATATTATATTAATAGTCGGTAAAAAAGTAAGAATAAATGATTTTTTTGCCCTTATGAATATATTAGTGTAAAAATTAGTGGCAATTGTATAATAATAATAAAAAAATATTGATAATTTTATAGTGATATGATTATTTATAAAAACGAAACTATTATTTTGGGGACGGACAAAAATGGTAAACAAGACTATTGTATTGAGATGCATGAAGTATTATTAGATAGTAACAATGATAACATGTGTTTGTTTGGGGGATTGGATTTTATATCTACTATTTATTCCAATTTTTTCCCCAAAAATATCGAATCAAACACCTATTTTTTATTTTTTATATTATACTAAAAATCAATTTTACCTTCAAAACATCACACCAACACCTATTTATATCACATCATACAACTATTCAAATTCAAAATTTTTACTATTCAAATCCCAACTCAAAATCCAAACCCCAAACAAACACACCCGAAGTGTAATCGATTGGGTGTAATTGGCAAATTCTCAGCATTTCCTAGATGCTATATAAATAAATAAAATTAATTCGATAGTAATGAAATAACTAATAGTTTATTATTAATACTATAAAATAACAAATCTTCGGAAGATATCTTTGGCTTATGATATTGATTAGACAATATAAATAAATGATCGAATATGTAACTAATTAATTGATCAATATTATAACTACATTAAGGGTGTGTTTGTTTGAAGGATTTTGATAGATTTCCACTATTCATCCAATTTTTTCCCCCCAAAAACATCAAATCAAACACCTATTTTTCATTTTTTATATTATACTAAAAATCAATTTTACATTCAAAACATCACATCAAACCCTATTTATATCACATCATACAATTATTCAAATTCAAAATTTTTACTATTCAAATCCCAACTCAAAATCCAAACCCCCAAACAAACACACCCTAAGTGTTATGATATGTCACTTCCTATTGAACTGTGTCATATTTTACTTTGTCCTAATAGTATTTTGCTATTTGTATAGTATTTAGGTTGTCCAAAAAATATTTATTTATAATTTGTTCTTCCAACATTTTTTTTCTGATATTATTCTAAATATATATAATAATATAGTATATAATTTTTATCATATCACAAAAAAATAATATTTATATTATTTAAAACCTCATATAAAAATATATACTTCAAATTAAAAACACTAGATAAAAAGTTCTAAAGTCTTATTATTTTTAATTTAAATCATAGAGCTTTGTTCTTTCTTATTATTATTATTATTATTATTATTATTATTATTATGGAGTTCTAATCATCATAACAGAAAAATATATTAACAATAAGATTAATATTAGTTTTTCACTAAAGTTTTAAAGTGATAATATTTAAATAGTAGTTGATAATATTTTTTTATGTTTAGAATCTTTTTGTCATTATATTTTAAAATTAAGTATTAATTCAAATTTTATCTAAATAAAAATTTATTAATATATATATATATATAATTAGAAGCCATTCAAAATGAATAAAATTGAAATTACAATCAAATAGTCATAACCTCCCATATTATTTTTTACTTTCCCTTTTTTAGTACAATATTTGATAGCATTATTTTTAACATATGTCATTATTTTATATTGAAAATAATTTTATAAACCACATTTAAAAAATAAAAAAATAATAAATTTTGTTTTATAAATAACACAAAGTTTAAAAAATAGGAGTATAAATTAAAAACAACTACAAGATATATTTTTTAATATCAATTTTAAATATATATTTGACTTGTAAAGACAAAAAATAATTAATTGCAGCATCAGCCCGGCGAATTCCCCTTCACCACGCATAAATTCTAAACACTCCAGGACCTGAACACCAGGAAAAATCAGATCCATTCAATACGTCGCGTCGACAAAACAACGGCAAGGATGCATCATCCCTCGGCAACCTCAGGAGCTTCCAACAATCAGCAATCAGGAACAGTAATCCAGCACATATCTGCACAGCAGCTTCATCAATACCCTAATCAGGTGAATCCAATTCCAATAATCCATCTTTAATAATTCAATTAAGCTCCAGCTCAATCACTCCAATGGCGGAAGAGGTATGAATCGAAGAAGAAGTCAATTCGATCGCCCGCCACCAATTAGAAGACGAAGATATTCCCTCACCTGTATATACAAAGTCGAAGAAAAGTCAATTCCCGCACAATCACCCACCATATCTCCTCTATCCTCGAAACTATTTTAAGCACACACACGCATATGATTTTGGGGATTTGGATTTTCTTTCATCTTCCCTTTGGATGATTGCTTAGGAAGCTTCTGATTCCGACAGAGACTTGTCTAATTATTTTTTGGGGAACTCAGTTTTCAAACTTATCCCCTATTTCTCGTCGAGCTTTTTTCTGTGTCCTCTTCTTCAAGAAACTCAAAAAAATCAAAAAAACCAAACAAACATGTCCGATGGTTTGCAGGATGCGATCAAAACCCTCTACGTGGTTTTTGCATTTTGCCTTGCCCTCTGCTTTGGTGTTCTTAAAAGTCAGTTCATCTTTATTTATTTTTCTTAATTTTTTTATTATTATTATTTTTTTTTGGAATTTTGGTAAACAAATCTTGCTCTGTAGGTTTGGTAATTGGTCCGATTGCTGCTCTGTTGCTGATTTTTGGGAATTCAGGGGTGATTTTAGGGCTTTTTCCTGCTCATGTTGTGTGGACTGTTTATACCCTTATCAAGTAATTCTTTAACTCATGTTTGGGTTTATTTGATTTGATTAAGAAATTTGTTTGATCTATGTTCTTGATGTTGATTAATTAATTGGATGATGTTCAGAACAAATCGATTCGATGCACCCCTGAAAGTAGCCATTTTGTTGGGATTGCCTGCTCTGTTTGCTTTCTGGTTAGGGCTTAGCATCGCTGGTAGTGTTCTTGTTGGAATTGGCTATGGATTCTTCACTCCTTTGATTTCTTCCTTCGAAGCCTTCCGACAAGACGATGAATATATGAAGTTCTATCATTGCATTGTGGTATATATATATATATCTTTATATATGTATATATGTGTTTAAATGTTTCTTTGATTCTATTCGATTCGATTTAATTCGATTCGATTTTTAATTTTAAGGATGGAACTTTGGGGACTGTTAAAGGTAGCTGTACTGTGGTTCGCGATTTCGCCGATTTGTGTTACCATTCGTATCCGAGCTATTTGAAGGAGCTTCGACACAATCCTCCATCGAACGAGCTCCAAACACTCCGGTAAGTTATTTCCTTTATTTACTCGAATTCAAAAAATCGACGCGCATTCCCTTGTTTTGGTTTGTTTTTGGTAGAATGATTCGTTTTTCGTCGATGTACGCATAGGTTTATTCATGTCCCGGCGTGCATTGCCGTTGGCTTGATGGGTTTGATCGTCGAAATCCCACTTTACACGGCGATCGCGCTCGTAAAGGGACCGTACATGCTCTTCCGGGGATGGCATCGACTCTTGCAGGACCTCATTAGTCGGGAAGGCCCGTTTCTCGAAACGGCTTGCATTCCCGTCGCCGGATTAGCGATCCTTATGTGGCCGCTCGTCGTTATCGGGAGCATCGTCATGGCTATATTCACCGGGTTTTTCATCGGGCTGTATGGATCCGTCGTAGTTTACCAGGTTAGAACCGTCAAATCGTGCATATTCGATTTTACGTTTGTCGTTTAAGCTATATTAATGAATCTCGACTTTCGGATAATCTAGGAAAGATCATTCCGGCGAGGCGTTGCTTATGTGATTGCTATGGTAGCTGAATTCGACGAGTATACAAACGATTTGTTGTATCTTCGCGAGGGGTCGGTTCTCCCGAAGTAAGTAATCGATTTGATCGAATGTTTTAATGACGATGAAGTGTCTTTGCTAACGATCTCTCGAAACTAGGCCGCGGTATAGGAAGAGAAAACCGTCGAATTCGTCCGAGCTTTCGGTGAAGAGAACCCAATCTGTGCACGATCGATTAGGTTCGGTATTCCCCGGAGCTTCCGGGATTCTCGTCCCGAGCTTAACGTCGTCACGATCCGTTCGAGAGGTTATAAAAGAGGTTAAACTCGTGCAGGTACGGATTTACTCCGACGTATATTTACGGCATGAGTCTGGTGCTGATTTTTCCTAATCAACACATGATTTCAAATAGTATTCTCTCTGTTTCAACTCACAAAATACTTTTTTACCATTTTCGTCTGTCTCGTTTGGAAGTATTCATTTTTTATTTTAGAAAAAATAATCCTACACTAATACCAAAATACTTTAACTTTTACCTAAATTACAAATATACTAATACAATTACTTGATGTATAAATCAAAAGGCAAAATTATCAAACTCTTATACATTTTCACTGGCTATAAAACACTGCTCCCTCCGTCCAATGGTAATCTTTCTATTTGATTTTTGCACGCGGATTAAGCGAAATTAGTATTTTATAGATACGTAGTGTTAAAAACAATGTAATGTCTATTTTACCCTTAAAAGTAAAGTAAAAGTAAAAAGTAGAGGTATTTTGATATTTAGTTGAGACTTACTTTTTCTGAAATAGGAAATATGAAGTTTTTATTTGAACAGACTAAAATAGAAAATGAAAAGTTTAGTAGTGGACGGAGGGGAGTATTATTTTCAATCTATTACAAAACTTTAAGAAGCCCATTTGACTTGAGACGAATGGAGTACATGATTTCAACATATATCATTTGTTGAAATCAATCGTATATATGATGTGAAAATTACCATAATACGATGTACTGTCAGCACTGTGTTGTACATGATTTCAACATATATCATTTGTTGAAATCAATCGTATATATGATGTGAAAATTACCATAATACGATGTACTGTCAGCACTGTGTTGAATTCAATGCAGTATATGCAATCTTACGACATCTATCGATTCAATTTAATGCAATCGAAAAAAAACTCTTGACAGATATGGGAAAGCACGATGAAATCGTCGGAGGTACGCGGGAAAGATTTGCTCGATGCGGGTGTGCTCGTGACGTCCGATCTTTGCGATTGGCTAAAAGCGAAGCGCTCGAGCGACGCGTACATTATGGACATCGGTTTGGTGTGCTACTCTTTCATGCACACCCTTCTCGACTCAATCAAAGCCGGGTCGAACGGGATGATTCTCCATGACGGCACCGAGGTTAACCACATGAATCGACCGCAGGACAAGCTCACAGACTGGTTCTTCCAGCCGGCGTTGGTCATGAAAGAACAAATTCGGGTCCTCAAGCTCGAAGACGGCGAGATTCGATACCTCGAAAAGCTCCTACTTTTTGGGAGCCTTAAGGATCGCGCGAAGGCGTGGGACAACGGGAGCTTCGTTCCCAACGACGCCCTCCGGGCCGCTCAAATCGAAGGCATTGCGCGACGGTTAGACGTCAAAACGAAAAAAGATTGTAAATTTATGTATGCGGATATATGTTTGTCGGGAATTGATGTGATGTTTTGAACGTGTAGGATGATCGGAATGTGTCGGAGCTTGTCGAAGTTTCCGACGTACCGAAGGAAATTCCGGCAGGTCGTGAAGGACCTTGCGGCTTATTCGACCGGGAACGAGTGCGCGGCGGCGCAGGCCGGGGGCGGGAGCTTGGGACCTCCTAAGGAGGGATCGAATAGATCGATAAACTATTCTGCGGCTAAGCAAAGCTCGACAAGATCGGGTTCCACGAGATCGGTTGCTTCCATTGAAATTGTTTGAGTTATACGTACACATATATATATATATGTATATGTATGTATGTATTTGTGTATGTATTTGTTCTGTTTTGGATTTTGTATATGTTGGGACAGCAGAAGTCTTAGGAATGCATATAGTTTTGTAATTGGTAGATTGATACAAGTAGTGAGAAAAGTATTGTTTTTTTTTTTTTTTTTTTTTTTTTTTTTTTTTTAAATGGGTGTTGTAAGTAAATGTAGGGGAAAATTGTTTGTGAAGCTTTTGTTATGGATTCGTTTTGAAATTTTTTTCAGGTTTGAGTTAAATAATATTTTGAATTTTATGAAACGAAATTACGTATTTTTATTGAAATTTGTGGGAAAAAAAAAAATTAAATTTGTTAGCCTATTTTTTATATATTGTCATTTGGAACTCATATATATATATATCTATAAATTTTTGAGAAGTAAATACTTTTTCAGAAGTCATGATTTATTTTTATGGGCAATATAACAATGTGTTTTTTTAGGGAGAAACACGTTTTCTATAAATATATTTTTCAGGAAAATTAATATATTACACTTTCATTATTTTTATATTATTTACACCATTTTTTATATAATGTTACAATAAAAAAAGAAAAAATTTAAACCATTTTGGTAAACAACCGAATCTTAAATTATTTTGTGATAAATTAATGCTATATTCAAATTTTGGTGGCTGTTTTGCTGTCAGAAAAATCATAATAGAAGAACAATTTAGATAATATGATGATAAACAAAACAATACATAAACGAGGAATGTTGATGTTAAATGCAGATTTAAGATTGTTTATGACTTATACAATTGGAAAGTCTATATCTTTTTTATAAATTTTTAACAAGATATTTACTATTCAATTATATTTTTTTAAAATATAAATTATACAATAATTTTTTTATTATTGAAAATCACAATAATATCTATTTAATTATATCACATGAAAAAATAAATTATTCAAATTCAAAATTTTACAATAAAAAAAATCATACCAAAAAAATCAAATCCTCAAATAAACACCCATATTTCGTGTCTCATTTGAATGCTTGACACATTCTTTCGATATTGAATCAATTAAATGTTCAAATTATTTAAACTATGGTTTAATAATCCTATATCGTTCTAATAATTGGTACAATTCAATCTCTATTATATATATGTGATAAACTATAAGGACACCAATAATTGGCCATGTAGGACTTCAAAACTATCAATAGACAAATCAATTATGAATATATTTATTGGTCAAAAGGACACAAAATCTTATGTTTTTTTTTGGTCAAGAGTGTTTATTTAGTAATTTATTATTATTATTATGAACAAGTGAAGACTGAGTGACCGACTGACTCGGTAAGGGGAGGGGAGGGGACCACGGGAAGTCAAAGAAAATAATAATGAAAACTGTATGCAAGAATAATGGCAAAATGCTGCTATGGGATGAACATAATCATTAATGACCATATTCAATACCTCTAATTAAAATTCCATACATCTATAACCATAGTTTTACAATTACTACTTTTCTGATGAGCTCCTATCCTTCTATGTGCTCCAATCCTGATATTCACTCATTCTATATATATAAATAATTTATTGAAAATTACTAAATTTAAATAATGATAATTTTGAATTTAAATAAATGCAAATCAAACACACTTATGTTTAAACACCCATATTTTATTGCTAATAGCATATTTTAATATTCCATTTGTTCCATATCATTTTCTATTTTTGTTCCCAAGATAATTATAGTCTTTTTATAATAATTGTACTACCTATCTAACATAATAAATACCTTTAGAACTTACAATATATTACACAAAAATGTAATATAATATTATTTTTACTACACAAATATAATATAATATTCCATTCTTCCTAATTTAAAATATTATTTTTATTATTTTCGTTTGAAAGTACTTTATATACAAATAGTAAAATATCTCTATTTTTAATAAATTACAAAAATCTCATTATTTTATTAATATTATTATTTTTTAATTTTTTTAAAAAAAAATGATCTTTTGGAAGGAAAGAAAGAAGTATATAACATAGCACCTGGAGTAATAATAATAATAATAATAACCATTTAAGGATCAAGAATGAAAAAATAAAATGAAAAAGAGCAGCAGCAACTAATCTGTTGTGCTAGTGAAAGAAGAAGAAGGGCAGGGGCAGGGCGGACAAGAAAATTACAGGTTAACTACAAAGGCACATGGGTCATGAGATGAGAGTAGTCACCTTTCCCAATCCACACCAGATATCCGTACCTCACGCGACAGCCCCTGCCTGCCTGCTCTTCTCTTCTCTCCTCGATCAACCTATACATATTGTACTGTACTACAATCATCCACACCCCGATTTTCATGTCAATACCCATTTAACAAAGAAACAGAAATTGAGGGAATTAATTAACTAATTAGAGAAGCAAGAGGGAATTGAAGAGGCAAATATACTAGAGTATTAGTTTAATGGATCATGGTGGAAAATGGAAATGTTGAGACTACAGTTACAAGAATGAAGTACACACAATAGCTGGTCAGTACAGTGAGAACACAAATGGCAGAATATAGGAAGAAAGGGAAAAGTGTCAAGTTATGCTAAGAGAGCATTTATTGAACGAGATCAAAGTGCAGAGTGATAGTCGATAGACCCCTTTTTTTAGTGCAGAAAAGCTTCTGCGGATTTCATTCTTCATCGTTTCGTGATTCTTCTCTAACTAGTTGAATATACACGCAGCACTATGTGAGGGGAGAAGCAGTAGAGAAGAGATGGAGAAGAGGAGTTAAGCTAGTTATACAGTTCATCTATGGCGGAATATGAAAGTTTCATTAATTCAAGTGGAAAAGAGAGTACTGTAGTTCCAAGTTTAGCTGCTGCTAAACTAATGGCGACTGCTTCTCAGCTTCATCGTGATTTTAGGTGATTTCAAATGAATCCACTCGTAGCGTCCTTCCATCGGCTCATCCTTCACTACATCATAGTTGTATCTGTATGGCGCAGAAAATTTAGTGTGATAATTCAGTGTTCATAAATTGATTAGCGAGAGGAAGAAGTGGTTACTTGTCAGTGAATTGCTTCTGCAGATTTTTTTCTGCGGCTGCGAAGAACTCTTCGATTTCAGCGCGGCCTGGCATTTGATTCTCTTTGGTACAATGGTGAGGATTGAAATCGCCTTCGACTTCGCTCGACGCCGATTTCTGTCTCCTGAAAATATTCGAGGTTTTAGCCACTCTTCGCTGAGGAGGATAATTGGTATCAGAATTCATAGCATTTAGCATTGAAGAAAGGAAGACACAAAATCTAGAAGTGCATTCAACGTTTCTCGAGGAAGAAGACGACGCAGCGAAATTCAGCTGTACTTAAAAGTTTGAATCGAAGAATAAATTATTAGTATTATAATTTTCACCTGTCACTGAAATTCACAGAATCGCCCGCCGATGCAGCCGAAAACTCCACAGTCAGCTCATTCTCCCGCTGCCGTATCAGAGGAGAAAGGAATTCAAAATTCAAAAAAGCTCCAAATTATTGGCAGAACATTAAAAAATTAAGCAAATCGGAAGCTCCAAACACGATGCTCATTCGCCTGTCTGCAACTTCCATAGGAATTCAACGGCATGACGTTATCAAAAACGAATTAAATATTTCCGCCATTAATTAAACCTTCAGATCTACAAATCACTCAATCTACTACTTGACCAGAATAAAGTCTATTGAACTCACAGGAGAAGATGGAGCGTCCGGTCTCCAGACCGCTAACCGACGGTTTTTGAATTCAGCTGAGATCGTCAACAGGTTGGAGTCAGCTAGCACAAATTTCCTCTTTCTCCCTCCCGCCGCCGCCTCCATGACCTCAGCCTCTCCAAAACCGCCGCAGTTCTTCATTCACTTCACTATTCCCTATACATACATACACATATATTATATTATATTTCACCAAAATCCAAACCGTACAAACTTCAAATTACCGTAACATCCACAACGTCGATCACAGCAGATTCGAAAAGACAGTTCTGAGAGATCAATTCCTGCAGCTCCTTTTATTCCGCTATGCACGTTCGAAGACGACGAATGAAGTGTTTTCGGCTACGGCTTTTTTTCTGTTACAAAAGGTTTTTGTAGCCAGAGGGGATTGTGTTGTGTTGTGTGCATGAAAGAGGGAAATGATACACACGAGTCTCGGTGACGGTAACGACAGTGACCTTATGAATCTAGTGTTTCCACCAACGGCTCAGATTGTGCCGTGCTTTTAAAAATGTCACAGTCCGTAAACGGCGACTGTCCTCGCCTTCAGGTCACAGACACCCGGTGGATGTAACCATCACCCGCCACGTGTACTGCAAATTTTTTCATCGCTGTGTTTGCTCAACGGTCTTGTTTTTTATGTTTGGATTTTACTACTTCCCTTCCATCCACTGCAAATATTTGTCTTTCACACAAGAATTTACGTGGAAAGTAAATAAATAATTATTTAGTTTTTTAATTTAAATGATATAATGTAATAAAATAAAGTGTATATTAATATATGTATATAAGTATTATTTTTTAAAAAAATTTAAAAATATTTCAATAAGTTTGAGACAAATAAAAATAAAATATTGCATAGTATTTGAAACGATAGAGTAATTTTTAGTTTAACAGTTATAATAATAAAAATATATTTTTTTATAAAATTGCAGCACACAAAGATAAAAATAAATGATTGATTATCTATTTATTTTGTTAGTTTATTTAAAAAATTATTTAAGATGGTTTATGTATTTTCTGTATAAAGTATTCGTAATTTAAATTTTTATTTAGAATCAAGTATTTATTTTGAACAAAAAAATATTTTGTTCAAAATTTAAATTAACAGAATGTTTAATGCATTTTTATTAAAAATAAAAAATTGTTATAGTCCCTCTGTCCTGCTCAAATGGTCTGATTTTGTTATTGTATTTAACATTAAAAAAAATTATATTTATATAATTTTTTGCACAAATATCGTTATAATAGTATTATAAAAACTAATAGAATTATTTTTTTATAATTTTTTTAAATTTATATTATATTTTTATATAATAATGAATATTTAAAACTCAACACAAAAAATAATAATAATAATAATAATAATAATAAAAGATACTCTTAAGGTTTGTTCGTTTGAAGATTTTACCAAAATTCAACTATTCATCCAAAATTTTCTCCTCAAAAACATCAAATCAAACACTTATTTTTCATTTTTTATATTATAGTAAAATTTAATTTTACATTCAAGACATCACATCAACACCTATTTATATCACATCATACAACTATTCAAATTCAAAATTTTTACTATTCAAATCTAACTCAAAATCTAAACCCCAAACAAACACACCCTTAAAGTCGTAGTATAATTTAAGTCGTAGTATAATTTAAGTAACTATTTAATTTAATTACTACTAAATTATAACATTGGGTTTGAGTGTCAGAATGCAAAGTTTGTCTGCGGTTGCGGATGAACTGATTGACTGACCTAATTGGTGTAAAGTTGGTAATTAGTCATATCCTCGCCTACTATCAAGAACCGTACAATTACAAAAGGTGACGGAATTAGCTTTTACATTTTGGAGCATAAAATATGAATTTATTTTTATTAATATGATTTTTCTATTATTATTATTTTTTAGTACAACGCAGTAAAAAAAAATAAAGAAAAAAAATAATATATTTAAAATTAGTGGTGGAGCCAGAAATATAGATTAGCATGAGCCATTTATATTTTTAATATATAATATATAAAAAAAATTTAAATATATAATATAACTAAAATTATAAAAAATTACAAATATTTGAATTTTTAATTTTATGAGTTTATAATAAATATATTTGACCAATTAAACTGAATATTTATAATAATAATAATTTTTTCAGAAATTATTAGGGGGCCAACTACTCAAAATCTTAAATTTATTACTTAAATTTTAAAAATTATACCTATAAAATATTAATACATTTAATAATAATAATAAAAAATCTAAAAATATTAGCTACGGCACTATTTGGAACTGAACAGATTTAGCAAGATAATATAGGGTGTTTTGTTTGTTTGTTTTTTATCGTAGAAAAAATTTTTGGTTTGAGTCTAATATTAAAATAATATTTAATATTATATTTTTTTCGAAAAATACAAAAATTAAAATAATAAAAAAATTGGAAGTTTGAGGTCAAAGAAACACACCCTATAGATCTTATTACTCCCCGTTTAAACTGAATACCAAATAACTAATTAATTAAGCTATATAAATTTTATTATTTTTTAAGAATAAATAAAAATAAAAAAGCTTAAGAGAAAAATTATTAAAAGTACACAAATTTATTATTTTTAAAATTAAAAAACAAACACTTTTTTTTTTTTTTTTTAATTATAGCATTTTTTTCAAAATGATTTTAATTGTGGCAAACAAGATAAGATGAAAACACACACACAAAGCAAAGGTAAAGGCAGCCTAAGGTTGTCTTTCTCGTAGTTTAATTTTGAATTTTTAATTTGCACAGAAATATAGACGATCATTGTCCTAGATTAGACGTTAGGACCCATACACATTCATAAGGGTATCATTATATTAAGGTACTGCTCCATCCGTCTCAAATACCGTATCTGCTACATTGTAGACACGATATTTTAAGAGGAATATAATTAATAGATAATTAAAAATGTATTAATGAAAATAATTATACTGTAATATAAATAATTATAAATTAAGATTAAGATAACTAATTAGTTTAATTAAAATTAAAAAAAATAAAAAAAATTTAAAATGAAATTAAAGTGTGTAATTATTTTCCAAAAAAGGAAAGTGACATGGTACGTGGGACGGATGTGGACATGGTATCTGAGACGGAGGAAGTACTATTTTTATTTTTCATCTTATCCATATCAGAAATAAAATTATCAAAATTGACAATTCAAATTAACGGACTAATTCTCTATATTTTATTTTTTATTTTTTTTAAAAAAGTTTTTATTCCCTTCTCTAGTTAGTAGGAGTGGGCAAAAAAATCGAACCGAACCGCCGAACCGTTGAACCGAACCGAATTTTCGGTTAACCGAACAAATTCGATTCGAATACAAATACTGCATATTTGATATTTGTTCGGTTCGATTCGGTTTCGGTTTTTTATATTTTTTTTCGGCTCGGTTAACCAAACCGAATATATTTATATAGTTATGTTATTATATTTTAAAATTTATATTAATAATTATATTCGATTCGGGTTTCAGTTCGAATATTTGAAATATTTGCAAATATTTTGATTTAATTAGAATTTTAATTATTTTTTTAATATCTTATTTTTTAATTTCGGTTCAGTTTGATTTATTTGCAAATATTTTCGATTAACCGTTCGAATACGATTCACGATTTCGGGTATTTGTTCGGTTCGATTCAGATATCAAATACCTGCATATTGCAAATATTCGAACCGTGTCCACCCCTACTAGTTAGGAAATTTATGTTCCATTAAGGGTGTGTTTGTTTGGAGGTTTGGATTTTGAGTTGGGATTTGAATAGTAAAAATTTTGAATTTGAATAGTTTTATGATGTGATATAAATAGGGTTTGATGTGATGTTTTGAATGTAAAATTGATTTTTAGTATAATATACAAAATGAAAAATAGGTATTTGATTTGATATTTTTTGGGGAAAAAAATTGGATGAATAGTGGAAATCTGCCAAAATCCTTCAAACAAACACACCCTAAATGAACCTTATAGATTTTGTTGTGAAATATTTCAAAAAGATGTGAAATTTGATACTTCGAATTAGTTTAATTTGTTAGGTCTTGTTGTTTAGTTTTTCTTGAGGTAATATTATTTTCTAAACAGTAAAATATGTGTTTAGTTATGTTTTGAGAAAAAAAAATATGATATTTTTTATTTTTATGATATAAAATGTCGAATCAAATATACATAATTATTTTATTTATTATATTTTCAAAAAAAATCAATTTCGAAAGTTATGTATGATTTTTGTTTGAATTTTATTTAAATATTCTTTTCGTTATGAATATAATATTACGGTTATTGTAGATATGTTCGTGAATTTATAAGAGTAGTAAATACATAAAAATATATTAGTAAAATTAATTGAATATAATACACATAATTATAAATTAATATTAATATAACAAAAATAAGTCTAATTAAAATTTTAAAAAATTTATAAACTATAAAATTTAGATGTGATTAAAATGTGTAATTTTTTTTCAAAAAATAAAAATGACATTAGATATGAGATGAACGAAAATTTAAAATATGACATCATATTTGAGACGAATAGATTAATATTTTAATACTTCATCTGTCTACTCACAAAGTATATATCTTCTATTTTGAGTTATCTAATTATAAAGTAATCATTTAAAATATTTTTTTTTTTACAAATATTCATATGTTATCATTACATTATTACTTTTACGTAAAAGTCAAAATTGTCTTTACACTATTTTTAACTATGGACTATAATTAAAATACTAATATTTTTTAAATTCAAAAAAAAAAGTAAATATTTATTTTTAAATTGAATGAAAGTAGTATAAGTTTTGTGAGCGAAAATAAAGAATAATGCAGTAGTTTTAATCTAAAATCAAAATTAAAATGATGTTAAAATAAATGGATCTAGATAGAAGTTTCTTGTAATAACTTGAATAAATAAGTAAATTTAAAACGAATATAAAAAATTAAAACTATATAGTTAATTTAATTATGTTATACAAGAAAGAAAGAAATTAAAAATGTTGAATTGTGAACAAGTAGGTCAATCTTACCATCAAAACACATCCTTGGGGTGGTATTACTATTTTTATTTTATTTTTTTTAAAAATAAAATAAAATAAAATAATTTTTTTTCATTTATTATACTCGTAATAAAATAATTTTATTTCATCAGATACAATTTTTTTAAAAAAATATGTAAAAATATTTTTTTTAAAAAAAAATAGAAAAAATAATATTTCTTTATTAAAGAGCAAAACGAAAATAAATTTAGATAAGAATAAAATTTTTGAATAAATTTGTATTACAAATGAAGTATTAAGCTAAATTTTATTTGCATTCAAAATATCTGATTAACAAATATTTATATCAAATCAAATAGTAATTTCAATTGAAAATTTTAATATTCAAAATCAAAATTTTACAAATAAACATATATTTGTAATATGTTTTGATATAATAATTAATATTCAAATATCATAGATATTTAGCTATAGGACATAGGAAGTATTATATTTATGTTTTGATTGATTTTAAATGATGTATAACTTTATATGTTATATACTTAATTGAGTTTATATTTGTTAAATAAATTTTAATTTAGATTAAAAATAAAAAGATGTTAATCAAAAATATCGACCATTGCCATGAAATAATTTATTTTTTTATAAAAAAAATATTATTAAAATATTTAAAAAATATAAAATATGTCAAAATAAATTAAAATTTAAAATTTAAAATGTTTAACAATAAATTATTAATTAACAATTATTTATAAAGAGCCATGTAAAAAAAAAAAAAGAAAAGAAAAGAAAAGAAAAAAGAATCGTAATAAATCCTTAATGAACAATTATTTATTTTTACCGATTCTAATTTTTTATTCTATTATTTTTTTAACGATTTAACAAAAATTAACAAGACACACCCTGAGCTTAATGAAGTTATTCCATTTAATTCTAGAATCTTCATATTTAATTCAAAATCTTCTTACCGTTGTGATGTTGAGATGTATATTTTCCTTATATAATAGCAATTCATGACTCTTGATCTTGAATTTCCAATCTTCAGTAGGAATGGAGGGGAGCGAAGAGAGGAACGGAGGGGAGCACATGGCATCTCGTCGCCGACCGCTGTTCCGTCTTTCGGTATCCCTAAAGTTTCAGAGGTGGTGGTTTATGGAAACTTCTTTTTCTGTTTTATTGGATTTGGAGCATAGATTGGAGAAGGTTAAAGATACTGTGGTGTGGAATCGAGCCCTCTTCCTTCGGGTGGTATAGATTTACATATTGATTTCAGTATTTGGGCATTTATTTGAACAATTGATTTTTTAGATTTTGTGGAGAAACATATTTGATTGTTTGATTGGAGCATAGATTGGAGAAGGTTAAAGATATTGTGGTGTGAAATCGAGTCCTCCTCACATGGCATATTTGATTATTTATGTCTTGCTTCTTATTTACTTCTCTAAATATTTTCTTTTGTTTATTTTGGTTTTTGTTTTGATAGGTGACGTGCTCTGAGGAGGACAGAAAATTCAATAAAGATATTACTATTGGCCTTATTCTCAATGAACTTTTGAATTGAACCTTGCCGAGTACAATGTTCATATGGATAAGCTTCTTGATGTGGGAGGAAATAGTATGTATCACAATTTTCCTCTCCTTTGATCCGTGTTCTTTTTACATAGAAAGTTAACACCAATTAAATTTCAGGAACTTTCTGTGTCACACACACTGTTTATCTTCTGAGGATGAATACAAGGACAGCCATTGTCATTCCTTGCTATTGATATGTTGTTTCAAAATGAAAGCTGAACTTACAGAGCTCTGCTATATGTTGATATCACCTTGACTTTTTTATTATTTTGGTTACTGTTATTTACTTTTTCCTTTTAAACTTTGCAGTTCTGTCCAGCCGATGGGTCAAGCAAACTTTCTTCTATCCAAGATACAGTTTCTTGGGATGGACTATGTATAGGCTGGGTTTGGACTTAGTTAAGGTTTGGATTTGGGTATTTAAGTTGATTTATTTATTTTTTTGTTATATACTAATATTTTTGTCTTTTGATTTTCATTGTTTTATATGATTGTAATTTAGCTTATTTGATTGCCACATCATGAACCTGTTTGTTTCTATTGTTACTCAAGCCTGGATGAAAATAGGAATAGGATATGATTCTCTCTCTGCTTTTCCCTTTCTTGATATTGAAAGGAATTTATGAAGCCAGTGTGACTGAATAAGATAAGATGGAGAAAGAAGGAAAGAAAGTTTGACACAGCTTCTCGTCATTGAAATGAAGCTCAGGATGTTCATGGTATTTGTTTTCGTTTTTCATATATTCATGATAGTGTTACAGGTTCTTTATATCATCCCTTTTTTCCAAAAAAATTATATATTCTTCCCTTGATCTTTTTCAAAATATTATATCTTTTACTTTTTTATTTAGATGTAAGAAAGAACTCAATTTTACTTTACGTTAAATTATCTCAACACCTCTTCTTGAAAAACAAAGGTTTAATTGTTATTTCATCTATTTTTCAAATGAAACAATAAACTTATTCTCTCAAATCAAGTTCTTTCAAATCCTATTTTCAATCTTCGAATTTCATTACTCTCTCATCTCCTTTCATTTTTCGAGTCCTTCTCCTAAAATTTCAAATTTTCATATTCTTTGTTCTATCCAAATTTAATTTCAATTTGTATAGTTCCTATTTCCCTCCCCAAACTTTTTCTATTTTTCAATTCCCTTTTCCAAAATTTCTAATAATTCATCCTCTGATCTTTTTAAAAATATAATATATTTTGTACATAAGCAAAGCTCGTGTTTCGTCCCAGTCTAAATTCTTTCAAAACTTATTTTTACAAAAATTTAAAGTAATCCATTAGCTTAATATCTTTAAAATATTATATCTTTTGTTCTCTTTTTTAAACATAACAAGTGATTCAATTTTCTTCATTCAATTCATCTCAATATTTACTTTCTATCCACAAATAACTGATTGCCCTTTTGTGGGATGGATTGCTTCTATGTTCTGTTGTTTGTGTAATATATCCAACAAAAAAAATAAAATCCAAGAAATGGCTTCTTAATTGTTTTACTTGTTTGTTTGCATTGTGATTTATGCAATTTAACCATGTTTATCGCTGCATCTGTTTTATGGGGTTGCCATTTTTGGGTTTGCACACTTGGTATATTTAGATGAATTTGTTTTTTATGCCAGGTATGTTCAATTGTGTCGCTATTATAAAAGAAAAAAAAAAATTATATTGAAAAATTAACTTTTTTGAGTGTATAAAATGTGTATATATATATTGTGTTAATGTTATATATATTATAAGTTCTAAATAATATTTAGGGAAACTATGTCATGTAGAAACACAATGTGAACAAATTCTTTATTTCTATTTTTTTTACTCATACCTAAATCTATGCTTACAAGTGCTGAAACATTGCTAATACTACTATTTAAGAATTCAATTATCTCTTCCCAAAATATTTTTAGAACCCTGAAAACTGACGGGACGGTGAATTGGTTATTCAACAAACCATTCTCAAAGTGGAAGGAAAATCTAAACTTAGCTATTTCCAAATATTTTTTGGCCATATTTTCCTCTTCCATATTTTATATTCCACAAACCATTCTTCAGGTTTTAGATGCTCCCTTAAAACTGATGATAATGGTGCAAGGGGTGATTCCACAAGCCATTTCTTAAAGTGGAGGGAAATCCAAACCTTAAATGTGTTGTTTCAAATCTCTTTTGGCTATTCTTTCCTCTCTCCGGCGACTCTCATGTGCCGTAGTTGAACAAGTTGGGTTTTGAGTTCTACTTTAAATCAAATGAGGATGGTGATTGGGTGATTCCACAGACCATTCTTTGAAGTAAAAGAAAAAAATATCTAAACCTAACATGTACATTTTTCTAATTTTTTTACTTTATGCAATTTAAGAATTTAACCAACTCTTCCCAAACTTTTAGAACCCTCGAAACTGACGGGATGGTGAATTGGTGATTCAACAGACCATTCTTAAAGTGGAAGGAATCTATTTTTTTATATGCTTTTTCTAAATCTTTTTTGGCTATTTTTTCTTATTCCATATTTGATATTCAACAAGTCATTCTATGGTGATTCAAAAAGTTATTCCTTAAAGTGAAGGGAACTCTAAACCTTAAATGTGTATTTTCAAATCTTTTTTGGCTATTTTTCCTCTCATGTGCCATACCTGAACCATTGAGGTTTTGGATTCTACTTTAAACCTGATGAGGATGGCAACTGGGTGATTCCACGAACCATTCTTTAAAGTAAAAAGAGAACTTAAACCGAAAATGTGCATTTTCTAATTTTTTGACTATTGTTCCTCTAATTTCTTACTCTAGTTGAACAGTTAAGGTTCTAGGTTCCTTTTTCGGACTTGTATAACCCTATTTTATTCTTTTATTCAAATTAAGGTTCTATGTTTTTGTTATGTTTTGCCTTGTTCCAAGTGTTGTGATTTATGCATTCTTACCATGTGTAACTCTTGGTTCTTTTACTAGGTTTCTATTTTCCTTTTACTCTTTCGGAAAAATCTATACTTAAATTGCTAACCACTTGGTATTTTCCGTTAAAAGACTATGAGAATGTGTTGGAATGAAATAACTATTACTGAAAAAATTTGAAAACTAACAGAGATGGTTACTTGGGTGATTCCACCTACCATTCCTGTGAGTTTGGAGGGGAAAATTTTAGAACTAAAATGTTTTTTGTTTTTTTTTTTTTTTCCAGAAATTTTGGCCATTTTTTTCTTCTCAAAAATTTTGTCAATTTTTTTCTTTTTCATCATTGCCTATCATAGTTGAACAATTGAGATTTTGGGTTTTTCCTTCAAACTTGACAGGAATGATGAGTTGGGTGATTCCACAAAGCATTCCTTAAAGTGAAAGTTTAGAAGTAGACTTCAAATATCCAAAACTTTACTAAACTTCAAATATCCAAAACTTTACTAGATTTTTTTCAATTAAAATTTAGAAGTATCAAAACCAAAGTTCCTTAGTTTGTATGCTTTGTCCTAAACCATAAAGTTTTTTCGTTGACCTAGTCATTGTTTCAAGATTTTCTAAAGAATACTTGGATGAATTTTTTTTTGTTCTACATCTTGTTCCTAAGTGATTAACTGTTCTGATTGTACTTTCTTTATAGTTTGATTTCTAAGATCTTGGAGGAGATCAACCACCATGGTTATGAAAGCTTGTTGGCAAGTTATTTTTCTTCTTTTCAATTTTCTCTCTCTCACGGTGTGTCAATTATTCAAATTATTACCTGTTGTTGCTTTTGGCCTTAGCTATCATGTTTTAATACCTCTCTCTTTCCAACTAGCATTTGTATGCTTTTAGTGTATGTAGTGTAAACTTCATGTTTTGTTTTTGCATTCTTTCTCAATGTTAATGAATGAATAAAATCCCATGAAAAGAATATCTACATTGCACAAAAGTAATTTCCATACTAAAGAGATATTCAATTTGCATATATATTTACTTTAGTTTTTAACACTTTTTTTTTTCTGTCAAGTTTCTGCACTTGAGAAGGTTGTGATGGCACCACATTCATAAACTACAATGACTCGTCAAGGAAAACTACAGCAACCCAATGGGCAAGTTTTTTTTTTTTTTAATCAGTTAGTTTCAAAATTCCAAAATGCTTCTTTATTGATTTAGATAGTATTACACTATTATTTTTTATACCTGATTGGTGACATGTTAGAGAAGTTTAAAGATGTTGTGGTGCTGAAATACAGTATTCTGTCTGTTTAGTTTCAAATATTCCAGAATGCACATTTATTTTTATACTTGATTATAGAACATATTACAAAAGTTTAAGGATGTTGTGGTGCTGAAATATAGTATTGATCTGTTGGGCGGTACAGATGTATAGAGTGATCTCAGGTATTTGTGCTTTTATTTGAACATTTGATTTTTATTTTAAATTTTTAAAGAGTTTGTGAAGAATCTTCTATTTTAGTCTCTATTATCAATGTGTCTTGTTTTATTTTTGGGTGATCTTGTTTATTTAGCATTTTATCATTTAGTTTGCTCTAAATAGCTAGGTGTCTTTGCCATATCTAAAGGCTGGTGAACATCATACAGTACTGCCATTAGAAAACTCAATTGCACTGTTCTAAATTATGAAAGCCTTTGGGAGGTGAATGACCAATTATTTTGTCCTCCATATCTCTTCATATGTCTACCTACTTTTGATGATGACTTAGTTATTTTAACGCAGTTGGTTACTGGCTAACAGGTGAATAATTGTGAACAGAAAATCAATCAATCATGCAAATTAAGTGCTACCCTCAACTTAAAGAAGCATGAGAATGCAACAGAAGACCAGTCTTTCCTTGAGCCAAAGCATGGAAAATCAAGTAAGAAGATCTTTCCGTAATCTACACCACACCTTCTTTAGTGTTTATTTCTCTATGTGGTTTTCCTTTCCTTATTTATTTATTTATATTTTTGTTAGCTTCTTTTAGTGCAACATATATATATGTTTGTATATTATCTCTTGCTTAAAATTGTTTAATGTTTCTTGAATTTTTATATTTTCAGTTGCATTAGAAAATACATCTCATTCACTCGTCATATTTTGTTATCTTTCTAAATATATTTAGTTGATATGTGAGTTTCTTTTTCTTGAGGGCAAGTGTACTTGAAAAGTTACGTGTTTGTTTAAACCATATGTTATTTGTATGTTTGGTGTGCAGGTAAGTTGGAAAGCCTACATTTTGTATGGGCATGTACTTATTATCTATTGTGGTAAGCATAACTAAGCATGTGTATTTGTAAGACTATGTGCAGTTTGCACATCTACCTGAATTGTGTATTTATAATATGTTTGGGGCAAACATGCTTGAAACTTGGCGTATCTTCTATGATATGCTAATTTTCTATTGATTACAGATGTGCCCAGGAGCTTAAATATTGGTTTGCTAGGAAACCTACGTATCTGACTAAGTGCATATTATGTTAGGGAGAGGAATGTATTAAAACTTGCATATGTTGTTTAATTGTGTGCTAATTATGTATTGGGAGCAAGCATGCCTGAAAGCTTGCATATATGTTTTGACTATGATAAGCCCAAAGCTTGTTTATCAGGTTTGATTGATTGTACATTTATTTTTTTGTTGAGGATCAACGTGTTTGAAAGCTTGCATTATGTTTGATTGTGTGCTTGTTATCTTCATAAAGATGTGCTTGAAAACTTGCAAACGGCTTTTGGATTTTTATTGGAGGTTGTAGGCATGCCCAATATGTGGATTGTGCTTACTTTTTGGGGGGCTTGAGTTTGTCATACAACTTGCATTTGTTTGGAATGTGTGTTATTTTTCGTTAGCATATGACTATGTGTTTGATTTTTATGGTGATGAGCCCCCCCTCTCCTTTTTTTTTTTTTTTTTTTTAAAGTAGGTGGATATTATATATCAATATGATGGGTTCATGAAAGCTTGCATATTCGTTTTAACTATATGTTTAGTATATGTTTTGTGCAAGTGTGTTTGATAGCCTTTGTTTTGACAATGCATACATTTTTGTTTTGGGTATGTCTGTATGGAAGCCTGCATATCTGCTGGACTCTATAATACCTTATCTTTTTTCCTTGAGGTCAAAAAACTTGCATATTTATTTTGATTGTGTCTATTAATTGTTAAGGGTCATTTTTTTAGCGGAAAGCATCCAAAAGTTAGCATATTTGTTTGTGCTCAGTTCTTTTTGTGTTATGGAAAAGCATGCTTGAAAGCCTTTATATCTATTTTGACTATTTCTTGTTAATCATTTGGGGGGAAGTGTGCCCCGAAACCCAAATTCATAGTGTGTATTTTTATTCGCAATTGTGTTTTAGTATGCATATTTTATTTTGAATGTTTGCTTCATTTCTCTTGGGAAAAAACTTCCCAAAAAAGTCTATCTGTTTTGATTGTTTTTATTTTATGTTTGTGGCAAACATGTTGCAAGATTGCATATCTGTCTAAGTGGTATGCTTATTCTGTATATGGGGCAAACATGTTGCAAGATTGCATATCTGTCTAAGTGGTATGCTTATTCTGTATATGGGGCAAACATGTTTGAAATCTATTTTGACTATTGGCTTGTGCATGTTGACATTTGGGAGGTGTGTTAGGAAAGTTGCGTATATGTTTGGATTATGCGTATGCCCTGAAGCATGCACATATATTACATTGTAAGCTTACTTTTTATTGGGTCAGGTTTAAATGCCTTTTTTTCATTGTGTTTATTGTTTATTTCTGGGAAACATGTATGAGAATTTGCATATCTATTTTAGATAGTGTGCTTATTCTGTGTTTGGGCCAACATCAAAAGCCTGTCTATTTTGATTGTTTGCTTGTTTGTTTACATTTGGATGGTGTGCTAGAAAAGTTGCATGTATGTTTGTTTGGATTATGTGTTTGCACATATATTGCATTGTGTGTTTATGGGTAGCCATTCCCATGAGTCTATTTTGAGAGTTTGTTATTGATTCCATGTTTTGTTTATATTAGGTGCTATTAGGTATTTGTTTATTTTCTTGAAAGTGCATATCTTTGATTGTGTGCTTATTTTATATTTGATGGCAAGCATGCCGTGTGCCAAAATGCTTGAAAATCTAGTGTGCCCAAAAACTTACATATTTGTTTTGACTATATGCAGTGTTTTTCAATGGTAGGCATGCCATAAAAACCTGTACGTTTTGATTGTGTAGTTATTATTTATTAGAACCAAGCCTGCCCGAAAGCTTGCATATATGTTTTGACTATGTGCTTATTGGGTTTAGGCATGCTTGGAAAGACTGGTATTTTTTTTTATATGTTTATTGTTGCATTCGTGTCTGAAAGCCTACAATTATGTTTGGACTCTATGCTTAATATGTGTTGTTGGTGCCTTGCTAATGCATCCTTGAAAGTTTGTTTGTTTTTATGTGTTTATCATTGTTTGGAGGTAGGCATCTCAAAGCCCAAATTGTGCTTTTTTTTTTATTGTGACCATTGATTTGTTGAGGATTGACATGCTTGAAGTATATATTTTGATTTGACTATGTGCTTGTGATTTTGAGAAAAATGTGGTTAGAAGCTTATGTGTTGATAACTGGGTGTTTATTTATTTTTATGGAAATGGGTGCACCTAATATCCTATATATTTGTTGAGTTTGACTATTACCGGTTATTATTTGTTGAGCCTTAGCATAACCAAAATTTTGGATATATGTTTGAATGTATGTTTATTATTTGCTAGGAGGAAAGCTTCTCAAATGCCTACATAACCGTTTGAATTGTCTACTTGTTATTTGTTAATGTTTGGAAGTTGCACACTATTTGGACTGTAAGCTTATTTTATACTGGTTTGGTGTGTTTGAATGTTTGTATATTTGTATGGACACTGCACTTATTTTGTGTTAGGTTAGTGTTTGCATATTTTGTACTAATTATGTGTTTATTGTTAGTCATTATATCAATATCAAAATATTTTAAAAATTTTATATAAATTATAAATATATGATATATGTTTATAGTATTATTTTTTAATCTATTACAGAATTTAAAAATATAATATTTGTTTGTTTGGATTGAGGGAGTATTTTATGTTTGGGTAGCGTATTCTAAATGTGTTTATTATTTGTTATGGTAAAAGTAGTCGAAATTTTCCATATCTTTTTATTATTGTGTATTTATTATTGACTGAGGGTTTGGGCTACGAAAGTCTTCATATTTATTTATTTAGATTGTTCTTATTTTTTGTAATTTTAATTAACTTTATTTACTTGTAAAAAAATAAATAAATCTATGAAATTTTAAATGTAAAAATATTATACAATTTTATTAGTAAGTGGTCTAAGATCTATATCATATATTATTAATTTTTTTTATTACTTTTACTTTATTCATGAAAATTTTGAAAAATCATATAAACATTATTTTAACTAGTAAAAAAAGTATGTGAAAAACATTATTTTAACTTGTAAAAATATTATAAAATATAGTACATTTAAATTAAAATTTTAAAAAAAATATATAAACATCACATATTTAATTCAGATAGCATGTGGTATACGGTTTTATATTACACATGCAACAATTTAATTAAACATAAAATATACTCTTTCAATTCCATCGGAGTTTAACATTTTGATTAGAGAGACACGTATTTAAGACGTGGATGTTTAATTAGTTAATAATAATTAATTATATTATTATATTATTTTTTTTATAATAAATAATATATATAGTTTTAAAGTAAATTTAATATATATAATTAATTTTAAATTAAAATATATGTTTAAATATTAAAAAACTAGCCTATTATATAATTTATGATATTAATTTAATTTTTATATTTTAAATGATAAATTTTATTTTGATAATAAAATGTAGTATGAACATAGCCAAAAATTAATTTATATAAAAAATAAACTATAAATAAAAAATAAAAATATTAAGTAAGCGAATCAAAATTTTATAAATATATATTACAATTTAAACTTAAACATAACAGAGATAAAAATAAAAATAAAAAAAGTAGAAAATAAAATAACACAACAGATAATTTTAAAATATACAGACACAATAATAATGGAGTATTAAAATATTATACTCGAAGCTAAATAAATTAGTAAATAAATATATAATAACGATAAAAAGAATCTATTAGTAGAAAATTAAAATTAATTTAATAAAATTATTATACATTATAAAATAAATAAATAAATAAAAAGACAAAAAAGACTATACCTGATTTTTTTTTCTTTTATTTTTTTTTTCTCTCTTTTTTTTTTAAGATTTTTTTTTTTTGCATCATAGTATGGATAAAAAAATTGATTAGTAAAAATTTTCATATAATTTAAAATTTATAAGTAAAAGAAAACAAATTTATTATAAAATTTTCACTAAATAACAGATTATATGCATAAATAATACTCCTTCCGTCTTCAGAACTATAGTGTTGGGTTTGGTGATATTATATTGGTAGTAGGAAAAGAGTACGGGTAAAATTTTTTTTTTTTTTTTTTTGCCCTTGTAAGTGTATTAATGTAAAAAATAGTGGCAGTAATAATAAAAAAATAAGGGTATTTTTATAGTAATATGGTTATTTATGGAAATGTGAATATTGTTTTGGGACGGACAAAATGGTAAACAAGACTATTGTATTGTAACGGAAGGAGTATATAAAAGAGATAATGATATTTTTTTATGTAGAAAAGTATTTACTTCCTTTTAACGATAACAAATTATATGCATAAATAAAATTCGAAAAAAAAAACACGTGAAAACCCTTAAAAAAGGTAAAAGAAATAAAAAAATAAAAAATCACGGTTGTCCAAACCAAAAGTAAAAAATTCACAATAATGAAATAACATTTAAGAGTTTTTAATAATACATATTAACATGTTCAATCATCATTAAATCAACCAACAAAAATCACATATTTAAGGAAAATAAAGATAAAAAAAAAACAAACCTAAAAACTTTGTCATTCTGATCGAATTACAAGCACTTTTTTAAAATTTCTGATTGGTCAGGATTGCCGTTTTTCCAAATCTCCGCAATGTTAGGTATATATAGATATACAAAACTCTAATTTTATACATATTTTGTTATTTATTATCTCGATAAATTTGAATTTTGTTAGATTAGTGGTTACCCTAACAAATTTTAACTAATTATCCAAACTTATTATTTAAAAGATAAAAAAAATTCCAAAATTATGAGAGTGCACGAATTAAAGTGTCTTGTGCTATATATATATATATATTAATATGATTATATAGTAATTAAAAACTATATGCAATATGCATATCATTTTGTAATAATAAAATTTTTTATAAAACAAGTAAATAAAAAAAAATTGTTTATTTATAATTAACATAAACAATTTTATAAAAAATGTGTAGTTTTAAATATAGATAAAAATATTTATTTTTTGAGAAGAGGGGTAGAAATAAATGATTTTGAATAGGTCCTACGTCATTTATGATATTGTATGTTATATAGTTAATTAAGTTGATTTATATTTATTAAATATATTTTGATTTAATAATTTTTACCAAAAATAAAAAAAATGTCAATTGTTACGGGACAGACAAATATGTAAATAGTGTCAGTTGGGAATAATATTATACAATACACACTATAAATATAAATATTGGATATTAGGGGTGGCAAATTGGCTGGGTCGGCCCAACCCAATAATGTTTTGGGCCAGATAAACACGGTCCAGTTTTAATTTGAATTTGAAAATCTAAGCCCGAGTACCATTTAGTTTCAAATAGGGTCGTTCCGGGCCAGCCCATTTGGCCCATTCTTTTTTTTTTTTTTTTTTAAATTCTAAAATAATTTCATACCCATGATTTTATACTTACATCATACCAACTAAACCATTAGCTTATAACTTTATTTTTAACCTAAATTTATCTATTAATATATCTATAAAATTATTTTTTAAAATTGGGGCGGGTCAGGCATGGCCCGGTTTGTACTCATGCCAGGTTGCCTTAAAATTTTGCAGGCATATTGTTTTAAGCAAAAATACGATTTTTTGTGCTAAGTCCAAATTAGATTTTTGAACCGTATCTATTTTTTGTCACCAGACATTAAATATTCTTATTTTATAAAGTATACACAAAAAATCAGCACTATAGCTCTTTATTTTATATTTTTTTAAAGATGTAGTAAAATAATTCTTTCAAATAATCATAGTGAAAGTAATTATTTTTGGATCCGTAGAATTATGAAAATGAACTCTGACCGTGTCATCATTAATTATAACAAAACTTTAATTATTAGGCCATTATTTTGTGGTCCCAAAATACTTAAAAATGTGTGTTTTTTTTTATTATTTAATCATAAAATATAATTTAAATTTCTTATTTATCTAATTAACTAAAATATATGGTTTGTTAGCTTTTTGTTTTTTTATGAATATATATATATTTTTTATGTTAGATATCGATAATTGAATTAATAATTAAAAAATATTTAGTATTGAATTATTGAATTTTAATAAGGAGATAATGTATATATATCTAATTTTAATATAAGTATATTATATTTTTTTAATAATATTTACGAAAAATCAATTTGTCTAAAAATACTAAATGAATAAATTTATAGTATATTTTAAACTTCGTGCGATAATTATATTTTAATATTTTAAATTTCTTTTTATCATTGTAGTTTTTTAAATCAAAAAAAATTATTTTATTTTACTTCAAAAATAATTATTAATTAAATACTAAAATATTAATACTTTTTAATTTTTATATTATTTTTATTTTAATGTCAAAGATAAAATGGACATTATACTTATTTATTATATTATATATATTTAAAATACTAATTTATTTTGATTCGCATGCAAAAATTAAATAAAAAGCTAACTAATGAACGGAGAGAGTATAAGTGTAATACAAACATACATTTCCCTTGTCATAATATATATATATATAAGTAAAATATCATACTACTATTTTATTTATTTTAATCACTTTTTTTTTATTATAAAAGAGAAAAAAGTATATATACATCACATTAAAATTTGTATCTAAATCAAATGAATCTATTTTTATATGACCGAGTAATATAAAATACAGTAAGTTTTTTAAAGCATAAACCAAAATCCCCTTAGGATTGTATTTGTTTGGAAGTTTGGTTATTTGGAGTTTGAAATTTAAATAGTAAAAACGTTAAAATATAATAGTGGTATTATGTTATATAAATAAATATTAATATAATATTTGTATATAAATTAAAATTTTAATATAATATAAAAAATAAATATTTGGTTTCATATTTTAAAGAAAAATTTTGTTAGGTTAGGACAACTCCAACATTGAAAAAATGCTCTGATTGTGCAAAAATTGGAGGAATGACTCCAACTCACCCAAAATCCTTCCATTATTTTTGCAGCCCGCTACACTGTACACTCAACTCCAATTTTTTGAGTGAAGTTTGTGTACTTTTGTTATTTTTAAGATATATTGTGTAATTTTTTTAAAAAAATTATATGTAATTTTATTTTTTTGGAAAGTGATATAATTTTATTTTTGTAAAATAATGTATAATTTTTTTTAATAAAAATGATATATAATTTTACCTTTCGAAAGATGATATATAATTATATATATTTTTAAAATAATGTATAATTATATATGTTTGGGTTATATTGTAAAAATAAATTAAAGTTTGAATTTAATTTATAAACATAAAATAATATAAAATATGAATATATTTTTTAAAGTGAGAATTGAAATAATGAGTTGAAGATGGTTTTAATAAATTCAAAAAAATTATAGTGATAAAATTTATAGAAGTTGAAAAGATAGGAAGATGAAAGTCCAAGAATATATATTTACATAAATATTTTTGACAATTTTTTTTTTTTAAAAAATAAAATAAAATCATTGACTCCCCATTTATTACAAAGTCTGTACATATCAAGCCCATACAATATAAGTTTTCGCCCAAATGTTGGCCCCCAATCGAACAGTTTTATATCTGAAATTAATTTCCGGACGTTAGGCTCTATTTTTCTCTAAAACCCAGGGACGCTACCTGCCGATCCGCGACCCAAATTGTGATATGCATCTTTTAAAACTTACAAATTTACTAAGGGTGTGTTTGTTTGGGGATTTGGATTTTGAATTGAGATTTGAATAGTAAAAATTTTGAATTTGAAAAGTTAGTATCATGTAATATAAATAGGTGTTGATGTGATATTTTGAATGTAAAATTGATTTTTAGTATAATATAAAAAATAAAAAATAGGTGTTTGATTGATGTTTTTGGGAAAAAAAAAATGGAATAAATAGTAAAAATTAAATCCAATCCCCCAAAGTGTTTGTTTGGGAATTTTTTTCAAAATTTACTATTCATTCAACTTTTTTCTTAACATATCAAATAAAACACGTATATTTTATATTTTTCTATTATATTAAAAATTAATTTTACATTCGCATTGTATAATTATTTAGGTTCAAAATTTTTAATGTTCAAATTTCAAAATAAAAACACCATAAATGTATAAATATATATATAAATATCAGTTACAGCCCAATATATCAACGGTTATAAAATGAAAAATAGTACTATTGTTTTAAAAATGATTAATATTTTATACTTAAAATTTGTAGCATTATATATTTAAATGAATATATAAATAACTGAATAAAATTTGTATAATGCTGAAATAAAATTACAAATGAAAATAATAAAAAAAATATATCAAAAGAACAGTAACAATCAAATACGATACTCCATAATACAATATAAAATAAAATTTGTTTTAATTATTTTTTAATGTATTAACTGTAAGAAATTATACTGTGGTCGGTGACTAACGGAATTATGTTTTATTTAAAATTTAAAACAGCACAACTTAATTAAGGAAACTAAATTTGTTAATATCATCGTCATCTTACTTACCGTTGTAAGGTGTGGGTTATTTATTCAAACGCTCACAACAAATCCACCAACAGAAGAAATGAGAGTGAGAGAATCAGAGAGAGAGATCCGAGCGTCTCATCGCCATCGCCCCAGTTGTCGGCCGACTTCGAGAGTGCAATGCAACGGGGACAGATGAGTCCGATTCGATTCTATTGGGGCGAGACGGTATGACTGACTTCGAGAATGCAATGCAATGGGGACAACAGATGAGTCTAATTCGATTCGATAGGGGCGAGACGGTCGGTGATGATTTTTGGTCTGGACTGCCTAGGTAGGGTTGAATCGTCGGCAGGGGAGACCGGAAGGCACGAAAAGCAGGTATGAATTTCTGGTTGAAGTTTCAGTCAATTTCTTTGAATCTTGAAGATGATGCGACTGACTGTGAGTTAGGTTTAATTGGATTTTAGTTCTATGGACATATGAGAGTATAGTAGATTTGTTTGAATTCAATTTAGGGTTTTGTGGAGGATGATTCTTGTTGAAATATTGTTGTTTCCTTTTAGGTCTTCTCTAAAAACATGGCGACGAAATATGCAAGCGCTGATCCGGTGGGAATTGAACAATGATCATATTTAAGCCGGACCTGACAAATATTTCGATTCGAATTTTGGTCTGCCTAGGTCCAATCGTCGACAAGGATTCTTGGCGGGGCCGTGTCTAAAAAATGTCTTCTGGAAGTGGTTTCATTGTCTTCTTTGGAAGAATTGTCAGTTCTTCTGGAAGTGGTTCCATTTTCTTCTGGAAGTTGTCTTCTGGTTCCATTGGCTGCTCTTCTGCTAATATGGGTATGTATATATATCTGATTCTCCTCCTGTTACCATCAATCATTGCATTATTAATAACTCTCACTAACCCTTTTTATGGGATTTTAGGAATTTAGCACTATGGTTCAAAATCATGTTCTGTTTTGGATGGATCGAATGTGTTCTTGCTAATATCATTGTTATAGTGATCCAAGTTTTATTGGTTTGTTGTAATCAATTTTTTATATTAAGTATTTTGGTCTATCCCCGGTTTCTCCATTATTTTTAATCAGAATTGAGTGTTTCTTGAAATAGGATTTGTGGCAGCAATGACAACGTGGTTGTATGTTGCTCAAGGACTCGGTGACTATTGTGATTGGAAGCTGCTCTTAAAGCATCAAAGGATTAATGGTTCGTTGACATAATATTCATTTCCAACAATGTAAGATTAATTTTGACTTTTTCCATCATTCTTCGCTTCATCCACAGCCCCCTCACTTTGATTAAATCCCATAAATTCATAATGTCTTTAGATGTAGTAGTTTTGGTTAATCAGATCATACGACAGACAGCATTATTAAATCAAAATAAGCATTCGTCTCTTCGGACGGGGTTTTAGGAGATATCAGAGTGAAGTGAGGACAATAATTGAAAGTGAATAAATTAATTGTGAAGTGTGGTTGGGGCACTGCATCAAATATTGAATCAATTTGATTTGATGTGCCGGCATTTTACTTGCAGCAGAGCCCTCTGCTTATAGGGAACTAACACCTCAGATCGGTTTTTCCTTCGAATTATGGTAGATATCCTCTCCTTTGATCTGTGTTCTTTTTACATAGAAAGTTAACACCAATTAAATTTCATGAACTTTCTGTGTCACACACTGTTTATTTTATTATTTTACTCTTGCCTAAATTCATGCTTTAAAGTGCTGAAACATTGCTAATACTACTATTTAAAAAATTAATCAACTCTTTCAAAAACATTTTTACAACTCTCAAAACTGACGGGATGGTGAATTGGTAATTCTACAAACCATTCTTAAAGTGGGAGGAACATTTAAACTTAAATGCGCTCTTTCCAAAAAAAAAAAAAAGTGGCCATTTTTTCCTCTTTCATGTGTGAGATTCCACAAGTCATTCAAACAAACCATTCTTGAGGTTTTAGATCTTCCCTTAAAACTGATGATAATGATGAATTGGGTGATTCCACAAGTCATTCCTTAAAGTAGGGGGAAATCTAAACCTTAAATGTGTCTTTTCAAAATCTTTTGACCATTTTTTCCTCTCTCCAGTTACTCTCACGGGCCATAGCTGAACAATTGAGGTTTTGGATTCTACTTGAAAGTAGATGAAGATGGTGATTGGGTGATTCCACAAACTAATCTTTAAAGTAAATGAAGAATCTAAACCGAAACTGCGGTATCTTTTTTGACTACTTTTTCCTCTATGCATTAGATTTAACAAGTCATTCCATTCCATGTTGATTCAAATAAACTATTCTCGAGGTTTTAGATGCTTTCTTAAAACTAATGATAATGGTGAATTGGGTGATACCACAAGCCATTCGTTAAAGTGAAGGGAAATCTAAACCTTAAATTATGTCTTTTCAAATCTCTTTTGACTATTTTTTCCTCTCTCTGGTTCCTCTCACGTGTCATAGCTGTACACTGATTTTGGGTTCTACTTTAAACCTGATGAGGATGGTGATTGGGTGATTCCATAAATCATTCTTTAAAGTAAAAAGAAGAATCTAAACCTAACATGTACATTTTTCTAATTTTTTTATTTTTTTTCTCCATTCTTGTTTGCATCGTGATTTTTGCAATTTTACAATGTGCAGATCTGCATTTGTTTTATTGGGTGCCATTTCTATTATTATTATTTTTACACTTTTATTCCCCTAAATCTATGCTTAAAAATGCTGAAACATTGCTTATGCTATTTAAGAATTTAATTAACTTTTTCCAAAATATCTTTTGAGCCCTCAAAACTGATGGGACGGTGAATTGGTGATTCAACAAACCATTCTTAAAGTGGAAGGCAAACCTCAACTTATATATGCTTTTTCAAAAATTTTTTTGGCCATTTTTTTTTTCCTCTTCCATGTTTGATATTCAACAAGTCATTCTATGGTGATTCATTAAACAAACCATTCTTAAGGTTTTAGATGCTCCCTTAAAATTGATGATAATGGTGCACTGGGTGATTCCGCAAGCCATTCCTTAAAGTTGAGAGAAATCTAAACCTTAAATGTGTTATTTCAAATCTCTTTTGCCCATTTTTTCCTCTTTGGTGACTCTCACGTGCCATAGCTAAACAATTGAGGTTTTGGATTTTACTTTAAACTTGATGAGGATGGATATTGGGTGAGTCGACAAACCTTTTTTTAAAGTAAAAGGAGAATCTAAAACTAAAATGTGCATTTTTCTACTTTTTTGACTATTTTTCTTCCTCTCCTTCTTACTCTAGCTGAACCATTGAGGTTCTAGGTTCCTTTTTCATTGTTGTATAACCATATTTTATTCTTTAGTTCAAATTAAGGATATTGTGGTAAGCATCTAAGGAAATGTTTTTGTTATGTTTTGCCTTATTCAAGGTGTTGCAATTTCTGCATTTTCACCATGTGTAGCTCTTGTTTCTTTTACTAGGTTTCTATTTTCTTTATACTCTTTTGGCAAAATCTATGCTTAAAGTGCTAAACTCTTGGTGAGGTCAGTTAAAATATTATGCGAATGTGTCAAAATGAGGTAACTATTACTGAAAAAATTTGGAAACTAACATAGATTTTAATTGGGTGATTCCACGTACCATTCCAATGAGTGGGAGGGGAAAATTTTAGAACTAAAATATTTTTTTTCTCTTAAAAAATTTTGGCCATTTCTTTCTTTTTCATTGTTGCCTACCATAGTTGAACAATTGAGATTTTGGGTTTTCTCTTAAAACTTGATAGGAACGATGAGTTGGGTGATTCCACAAATCATTCCTTAATGTGAAAGGGGAAATCTAAACCCTATATATGTTTTTTTTCTATTCCTTTTTTTTTTTTTTTTTGGCTATTTTCCCTTTCTTGTTACTCTAGTTTGCCATAGTTGAACAATTGAGGTTCTAGGTTCCTCCTTTATAGCCGATCTAACCCCATTGGTAGTAAGTCATGGATTAGTATGTTAATTGATAGCTTGTGGATACTATGGTAAGTATTTTATAACTCAATAAGACAAAGGAGGAAATGAGATTTGTTTTCTTAAAAGCTTTATGAGGCATAAATGAATAACTATTTGGGCATAAAGAGCAGTATAGTTTGTTTTGTAGACTTCAAAGATCCAATCTTTAGTAGACTTTTTTCAATTAAAATATTGGAGTATCATTACCAAAGTTCCTTAGTTTGTACGCTTTGTCCTAAACCATAAAGTTTTTTTGTTGACCAGGTCATTGTTTCAAGATTTTCTATAGAATATATGATTTTTTTCTTTTCTGTTTTTGTTTTACATCTTGTTCCTAAGTGATTAACTGTTTTGATTGTACTTTCTTTATATTGTAGTGTTTTGAAATCCATTGACATAGGTTTGATTTCTAAGATCTTGAGGAGATCAATTACCATGGTTATGAAAGCTTGCAGGCAAGTTATTTTTCTTCTTTCCAACTCCCTCTCTCACAGTGTCTATTATTCAAATTATTACCTGTTGTTGGCTTTTGGCCTTAGCTATCATGTTTTAGTACCTCTCTTTCCAACTAGCATTTGTATCCTTTTAGGGTGTGTTTGTTTGGGGAATTCTCCCCCAAATACACTATTCATCGCATTTTTTTCCTTCAAAAACATCAAATCAAACACCTATTTTTCATTTTTTTTTTATTATACTAAAAATCAATTTTACATTCAAAACATCACATCAACACCTATTTATATTATATCATACAACTATTCAAATTCAAAATTTTTACTATTTAAATCCCAACTCAAAATCTAAACCCCCAAACAAACACACCCTTAGTGTATGTAGTGTTAACTTCATGTTTTGTTTTTGTATTCTTTCTCAATGTTAATGAATGAATAGAATCCAATGAAAAGAATATCTACATTGCACAAAGGTAATTTCCATACTAAAGAGAGATTCAATTTGCATATGTATTACTTTAGAATTTTAACACATTTTTTTTTTGGTCAAGTTTCTGCGCTTGAGAAGGTTGTGATGCCACCACATTCATAAACTACAATGACTCATCAAGGAAAACTACGGCAACCCAATGGACAAGTTTTTTTTTTCAATCGGTTAGTTTCAAAATTCCAGAATGCTTCTTTATTGATTTAGGTAATATTACACAATTATTTTTTATACTTGATTGGTGATATGTTAGAGAAGTTTAAGAATGTTGTGGTGCTTAAATATAGTATTCGTCTGTTTAGTATCAAATATTCCAGAATGTTTCTTTATTGATTTAGGTAATATTACAATACAATTACTTTTTATACTTGATTGGTGACATATTAGAGAAGTTTAAAGATGTTGTGGTATGGTATTGGTCTGTTGGGTGGTATAGATGTATAGAGTGATTTCAGGTATTTGTGCTTTTATTTGAACATTTGATTTTTATTATTTTTTTTAAAGATTTTGTGGAGAATCTTCTATTTTATTCTCTATTATCAATGTGTCTTGTGTTATTTTCTGGTGATCTTGTTTATTAAGAGTTTATCATTTAGTTTGTTCTAAATAGCTAGGTGTCTTTGCCATATCTAAAGGCTGGTGAACATCACACAGTACTGCCATTAGAAAACCCAATTGCACTGTTCTAAATTATGAAAGCCTTTGGGAGGTGAATGACCAATTATGTTGTCCTCCATCTCTCTTTATCTGTCTACCTACTTTTGATAATAATTTAGTTATTTTATCGCAGTTGTTTACTGACTAGCTGGTGAATAATTGTGAGCAGAAAATTAATCAATCATGCAAATCAAGTGCTACTCTCACTTGAAGAAGCATGAGAATGCAACAGAAGACCAGTCTTTCCTCGAGCCAAAGCATGGAAATCAAGTAAGAAGATCTTTCGGTAATCTGCACTACACCTTCTTTAGTGTTTATTTCTTTGTGGTTTTCCTTTCCTCATTTATTCTTTTCTTTGTTAGCTTCTTTTAGTGCAACCTATGTATATTATCTCTTGCTTAAAATTTTGTCTAATGTTTCTTGAATTTTTATATTTTCAACTGCATTAGAAAATACATTTCATTTACAAATCTAATCCTCCAAGCCATCTTAATGTAAACAAGTCCATAATTATGTTCATTACTTCACTCGTCTACTTATATTAATATTTTGTTCTCTTTCTATATATATATGTAGTTTGATATGTGCGTTTCGTTATGTGTTTGTTTAAACCATATGTTATTTGTATGTTCGGTGCAGGTAAGATGGAAAGCCTACATATTTGTATGGGCATGTACTTATTATCTATTGTGGTAAGCATACCTAAGTATGTGTATTTGTAGGACTATGTGCTTATTATTTATTGGGGCAGCTGTTCCAAGAGAGCTTGCATATATTTTTTGACTGTGATGTGCCCAAATCTTGTTTATTTGTTTTTATTGTACATCGATTTTTTGTTGAGGACAAACGTATTTGAAAGCTTGCATTTATGTTTGATTGTGTGCTTGCTATCTTCAGAAAGATGTGCTTGAAAGCTTGCAAACTGATTTTGGATTCTAGTTGGAGGTTGTAGGCATGCTCAAATATGTGGATTGTGCTTACTTTTAGGGGGGCTTGAGTTTGCCATACAGCTTGCATTTGTTTGGAGTGTGTGTTTCTTTTCGTTATAGTTAATCGCATATGACTGCGTGAATTTTGTTGGTGATGGGCCCTTTTTTTTTAAGTAGGTGGATATTTCTATCAATATGATGGGTCTATGAAAGCTTGCATATACGTTTTAACTATATGTTTAATATATGTTTTGTGCAAGTGTGTTTGATTGCCTTTGCTTTGACAATGCATACATTTTTGTTTGGGGTATGTGTGTATGGAAGCCTGGATATCTATTTTGACTATTGGCTTTGTGCATGTTGACATTTGTGAGGTGTGCTAGGAAAGTTGCATATATGTTTGGATTATGTGTTTGTCCTGAAGTATGCACATATATATATATATATATATGATATATTGCATTGTGTGCTTACTTTTTATTGGGTCAGGTGTTCCCATGAGTTTAAATGTTTTTTTTTTTAGTTTCTTTATTTTCCATTTTTGGGAAACATGTATAAGAATTTGCATATATCTATTAACATGGTGTGCTTTTGTATTTGGGCCAACGTTGAAAGCCTTTGTATGTATTTTGACTATTTTCTTGTTTGTTTACATTTGGGTGGTGTGCTACAAAAGTTGCATGTACGTTTGGATTATGTGTTTGCCTGTAAGTGTGCACATATATTGCATTGTGTGCTTACTTTTTTATTGGGGTATCCGTTAGTTTTTGTGTTTGTATGGGCATGTACTTATTGTGGTAGGCATACCTAAGCATGTGTATTCGTAGGACTATGAGCTTATTGTTTATTGGGGCAGCTGTTCCTAGAAAGTTTGCAGATCTACCTGAATTGTGGATTTATATGTTGGGGGGCACACATGCTTGAAACTTAGCATATCTTTGATGATATGCCAATTTTCTATTGAGTACAGATGTGCCCAGCAGCTTAAATATATGGTTTGCTAGAAAACCTACATATATGACTAAGTGCTTATTATGTTACGGAGAGGAATGCAGTAAAACTTGCATATGTTGTAATTGTGTGCTAATTATCTATTGGGAGCAAGCTTGCATATATGTTTTGACTATGATGTGCCCAAAGCTTGTTTATTTTTTTATTTTTATTGTACATTTATTTTTTGTTGAGGACTAACGTGTTTGAAAGCTTGCATACATGTTTGATTGTGTGCTTGTTATTTTCAGAAAGATGTGCTTGAAAGCTTGCAAACTGATTTCGGATTTTAGTTGGAGGTTGTAGGCATGCCCAATATGTGGATTGTGCTTACTTTTGGGGGTGCTTGAGTTTGCCATACAACTTGCATTTGTTTGGAATGTGTGTTTCTTTTCATTAGCATATGACTGTTTTACTTTTGTTGGTGATGGGTTCTTTCTTTTTTTCTTTTTTAAGTAGGTGGATATTATCTATCAATATGATGGGTGCATGAAAGCTTGCATATTCGTTTTAACTATATGTTTAATATATGTTTTTGTGGAAGTGTGTGTATTTTTATTTGCAAGTGTGTTTTAGTATGCATATTTTGTTTTGAATGTTTGCTTCCCAAAAAAGTCTCTGTTTTGATTGTGTTTATTTTATGTTTGTGGCAAACATGTCTTAAAAATTGCATATCTATTTAAGTGGTATGTTTGTTCTGTATTTGGGGCAAACATGTTGGAAATCCTTGATATCTATTTTGACTATAGGCTTGTGCATGTTGACATTTGGGAGGTGTGTTAGGAAAGTTGTGTGTATGTTTGGATTATGTGTTTGCCTTGAAGAATGCGCACATAAATTACACTGTAAGCTTACTTTTAATTGAGTCAGGTGTTCCCATGAGTTCAAATGCCTTTCTTTATTGTGTTTATTTTTATTTCTGGGAAACATGTATGAGAATTTGCATATCTATTTTAGATGGTGTGCTTATTTTGTGTTTGGGCCAACATCAAAAGCCTATCTATTTTGATTGTTTGCTTGTTTGTTTACATTTTGGGTGGTGTGCTAGAAAAGTTGCACGTATGTTTGGATTATGTGTTTGCCCTTAAGTGTGCACATATATTGCATTGTGTGCTTACTGTCTTATTGGGGTAGCTGTTCCCATTAGTCTATATTGAGAGCGTGTTGTTTATATTAGTTACTATTATGTTTCTGTTTCTCTTCTTGAAAGCATGTATATCTTTGATGGTGTGCTTATTTTATATTATGGCAAGCATGTCGCGTGCCCAGAAGCTTGAAGATCTAGTGTGCAAAAAACCTACATATTTGTTTTGACTTACATGTATTGTGTTTTAGTGGTAGGCATGCTATAAAAACCTGCACATGTTTAGATTGTGTAGTTATTATTTATTAGAAGCAAGCATGCTCGAAAGCTTGCATATATGTTTTTGAGTATGTGCTTATTGGGTTTGGGCATGCTTGAAAGACTGGTATTTGTTTTATATGTTTACTGTTGCAATCATGTCTGAAAGCTTACATATATGTCTGGACTCTACGCTTATTATGTGTTGGCGGTGTCTTGCTTACAATGCGTGCTTGAAGGTTTGTCGTTTGTTTTACGTGTTCATCATTGTTTGGAGGTAGGCATACGAAAGCCCAAATTATGTCTCTTTTTTTTGTATTGTAACTATTGATTTGTTGATGATTGAGGTGCTTGAAAGACTGTATATTGGTTTGATTATGTGCTTGTGATTTTGAGAAAAATGTGTTTAAAGCTTGTATGTTGATTTAGATTGGGTGTATTTATTTTTATAGAAATGGGTGCATCCAATATCCTATATAATTGTTGAGTTTAAGTCTCACTATTAGCTCTTATTATTTGTTGAGGGTTAGTATATATATTTGAATTGTGTGTTTATTATCTATAATTGAGCCAGAAGTCCTGTGTATTAGTTTTGAATGTATGTTTATTATTTACTAGGAGGAAAGCTTCTCGAATGCCTACATAACCTTTTGAATTGTCTACTTGTTATTTGTTAATGTTTGGAAGTTGCATACTATTTGGACTGTGAGGTTATTGTGTTTGAATGTTTGTATACTAGTATGGATTGTGCACTTATTTTATGTTAGGCTAGCTATCTTTAAAAGCTTGCATATTTGTTGTTGTTATTATTATTATTATTATTATTATTATTATTATTATTATTATTATTATTATTACTTGTATATTTGTTTTGATTATGTATTTATTATTGATTGAGAGTTGGGGCTATGAAAGTCTGCATATTTATTTGGATTGTTCTTGTTTTTGTTAGGGGTTTTGAAGTGTACTTATATTTTTTTTAACTAGCATACGAAAATTCTAATATTAAATATTATAATACAATTTTTCATATATAAAAAAATATATACATTCAAAATACAAAACAAACACAATTATTAATTTTCTTATTTAAATCATTTTAATCAAAGTTAACAATCAAAATGGAATGGATAAAATATAATTAAATATAGAAAAAAAAAATCAATTTTGATCTCAATATGACAAAAATTTATGAATTTTGGTTTCAACATAAAAAAAAAAAAAAAAAAAAAAAAATCATCAATTTTACTCTAATTATAAATAATTTTAATCAATTTTGGTCTATTTTAAATAATTTCAATCAATTTTGGTCTTACCATTAAAAAATTAACGGAAATTGCTAATGCGGACTTCAGGTGATGTGGCAACTGACCTGGAAACTACAAGATTATGTACAATACACAGTCATGTTGTTAGTGTATATTTCAGTGTATAATTATATATGGTCATGTTGTTACACGGTTATGTACAATTATACACGACTATGTAACATTGTTACACGGCTATGTACAATTATACACGACTATGTAACAGCTGTACCTTTCTATTTTTGTCTAAAATTTTGTTTTTTTGTTATATATATATGTATTCAGGATAGATGATACCGTTAAAATAGAAAAAAATTAATAATAATCATAATATAATTAAAATGTATTAATTTTAGTTCAAATATAAACATTTATTCTTTTGGAAGATTTTGTCTAAAATTTTACTATTTATAAAAAAAAATTCTCTTATAAAAATCCAATTGTTGTATTGAAATAATAAATTAAATTTTAGTACTATTATAATATAAAAAAATAAAAATAGTTGTGTAATTGGATGTTTGTAAGAAGAAAATTTTTTATGAGTAATAAAATTTTAGACAAAATATTTCAAAAAATATCTTATAAATTTTTAAATATGAATTAAAATTGATAAATTTTAAATATATTATGATTATTATTGAATTTGTCTATTTTTAACTATATTAACTATTTTAAATTCAAAATATTTTTTTTAAAAAAAATATAACAAAAAAAATAAAATTTTAGACTAAAACAAAAATGTACATGACCGTGTAAAATTATACATTGTCGTGTAACAACATGGTTATGTATAATTATAAACTGAAATATACAGGGCTGTGTAACAAGATAGTCATATACGTTTAGTTTCCAGATCAGCCACCACGTCAACTCTGTTATGTCCACGTCAGCAATTTTCGTTAATTTTTTAACGGTGCGATCAAAATTAATTGAAATGGTTTATAGTGAGACTAAAATTGATTGAAATTATTTATAATGAGACTAAATTTGATGAGTTTTTTATATTGAAATCAAAATTGATAAATTTTTATTATATTGAGACCAAAATTATTTTTTGTTTTCCTTAAATATAGTAGTTCTAAAAAATAAATAAAAAATGCTCCCTCATTCCTGTTATAGTTGATACATTGGTCACACGCTGTTTAAAGAACTGATGTTTTATTAGTTAGTGACACGGGTGTAGTTTGTTTTGTGAATATAATTTGAAGAAATATTTTTGATGCAATTTATATGAAATTATATAAAAATAATAAATAATATATAATATATTAATATTTTTTGAAAAATTGGTGGTGAAAAAGTCAAAAAGAAATGACCACAGTAATAATATTGATAGTTTTAAAATATATTTAATATATATAATTAAAATAATTAGAATATGTATTTCAATATTTTAAAAATATATCACAAAAAAATGAATATCAAATATATATAATATATATAATTAAAATAATTAGAATATATATTTCAATATTTTAAAAATATATCACAAAAAAAAATGTATGAATATCATTTTGAGGTGGATAAAATTTTCTGTTATACAAGTAGATAAAAAATACTTTTATTTATTTATAATTAATATAAAATAATTTTTTAAAAGATATAAAATTTTAAATGTAAATAAATATATTTTATTTTTATTTTTTAAAATAAAAATAAAAAGAATTTTAAGTGAGATTTTATATATTATGTAATTAATTAAATTAGATTTATACCAAAGTATATTTTAATTTAGTAAATTTTATTCAAAATAAAAATATCTCAATTATTGTAGAAAATATCAAAATAAAAAAAATATCAATTTTTATGTTATGGAGTACTAAACAAAAGCAAACTTCAGAATTTAGAAAAGAAAAAAAAAAACAAAGAAAAAACTATAGAACAACAATTGTAGAGAGACATTTGTGACTAATTTTAAGGCAGTTGGGCCCAACTTTCTCGTAATGGCCCAAAGCCCAAATTAATGAGCCTGTGTTAGGTTCACCTCATCAAATGAAGTGTAGCCTGGACCTTGGATCCTGGAATATATAGAAATGAGTATGGGATCGGAAGTCCGGGACCATTTTCTTAACATATTTTTGTGATATTATATAAATATATATATATATATATATATTAAATTTTAAATATACTATTAATTAAATATTATTATTATATCTTTTTTTTGTAAAGATGCGCTGAGATATTGATTAGTCGTAGTGGTGGCGTTGGGTTGCGGATAAGGAGAGGAGGTAGAGCTTTAGAAGTGATGGTGGCGGCCAATCCGATTCAGCCTCGCTTGCTCTCCACCTTTCTAGGGGATTGCCGCTTCTTTCCCTCCGATTCCACGCATTCGCTTCGCCGTCTCTTCCATTTCACCTCAGGTTTGCCTGATGTGCGCTCTGATTTTATCACTTCACGTTATGTATGTATCCTGTGGCTGCTTGTTTTGTTTTTTCTGATGTTGGACTTGGATATGGAATTCAATTTCGATTTAATCGTTTTCTGATTGAATGTTTGAGAGAGGTAGTAGTTTGCCGTTGTTTTTGTTGAAAATCAGTGTGCTTAATTTCTGGTTTTTGGATAGGAAGAGACCGTGTGTCAATGCAAGCGTCGAGAACCTTTTCAGGAATAACCAGTTTGTTGTTTAACAGAAGGTATGCTTTCTTTTTGATGCATTCCCACTTTTCTGAAACATTTTTGTGCTGTTTGTTTATCGCGTTGGTGATGCGTTAAAGTAGTGTGCATTTCCACCTCTCTGAAACATTTTTGGTCTCAGATTTGAGAATTTTATCAATTTCGTATAAAAAGGTTCCTACCGAAGCTGTAATCAATCTATGGAGTAGAAGAGATTCACTCTGATGTTGTGAAAATTTGATACTTCAGAAACATAACCAATTTTCATAAGTTCTAGCAGAATCAGCGTTTATGCACAGTTAGGGTTCGTTCCGGTTTATGCTACTGACTGATGAATTGAATTAGTTATTTTTAGAGGTAAATATATTTCTGTCTTTGAGAGAATGTACACAAAGATTTGCACATGTTCTGTTTGCATTTGTTGACAGCCCTGCAGCACTAGTATCACTACATGATATTGCAAGTTATCTAATAGGTTAGATGGAGCTGTTGAACTTCATTTATAGTGAGTCCTGGCTTAGCTTGGAATCATTCCCTGTTAATTTTCTCTGTATTATTGTTATCTTTGTCGAAGCACACAAAAATCTGCTGATAGCAAAAGGAACCGTTTGAAGCCTGGGAAAGTATCTCCCCTACGCCCAGTCCCCAGCGACATACCGAGGCCCCCTTATGTCAAGTCTAGGAAACCGGCTGGAATTGCAAGCGGGCCTGAAATACATGATGAGAAAGGGATAGAGTGCATGAGAGCATCTGGGAAGCTTGCTGCCCAGGTTCTTCAACATGCCGGGACATTGGTGAAGGTGAGTTTTCTCACCTTATAGTGTATATGATTATTCACAATTCGGGTGGCAGTGGCTGTTAAGCCAGGCAATGGCATAAAATTTGATCTTCCTTTTTATTGACATTAAACTCGACTGTTTATTTACTTATTTTACAATTTGACCCAAACTCCATTTGCATTTGCTTTTGCATTGTGCCTCTCTTGGCAGCCAGGCATCACAACGGACGAAATTGACCAAGCGGTTCATCAAATGATCATCGAAAATGGAGCATATCCATCTCCTCTTGGTTACGGTGGATTTCCAAAAAGTGTGTGCACATCTGTGAATGAGTGCATTTGCCATGGAATCCCCGACTCGCGTGCCTTGGAGGTTTGTCCTACCAAACTATGTATTTCACATGATTTTTTAATCCCATCTATATATGGTTATATCACAAAGTTTAGGTTATTGGTTGTCTTGCCTTCGCAGGATGGCGACATCGTCAACATTGATGTTACAGTCTATCTTAATGTAAGCATAGAACTTGAGTTCTTTTTTTATCGACAGTCAATTTGTAGAATGAAATAAGACATGGATTATCGTAATTTTGTTTCAAGATTGCTTTTGTTCTTGTAATATAAGTAAATTGGGACTTCCTGACATCCAGGGTTATCACGGGGATACATCTGCCACATTTTTTGTCGGAGATGTTGATGAAGAGGCAAGAAATTTGGTAAAGGTATTTCTTATTTCCTAGTACATGCACTTTTAACTAATGTTTGTTGTATTCAGAAATTTGCCTTTTTCATAACGACCAATTGTGTTGCCGTGCATTAGGTAACCAAAGAATGCCTCGACAAGGCAATATCAATATGTGCACCGGGAGTCGAGTTCAAGAAAATTGGCAAGATAATACAGTAAGATCCCTTTACTATTCTATAATTTCATTTCAAGCGCTTAATACTGCCAATTGCCAAATATAAGGTTCAATTTAAGTAGAAGTTTTGGAAAATTTCAATAATAATAAGAAGTTGAGTATAGGATATGATTTTTGTGAGAGAAAAAGGTACTCCCTCCATCTGGAAAAATTTCCATGGGTTGGCTTGAACACAGAGACTAAGAAACAATGATATTTTAATTTAAGTAAGAGTATTATGAGAAATTTATTTAGAAATTGATATAAATGAAATAGGATAAATAGAAAAAAATTGGCAAAGTTGTTATTATTGATTAAAGTAAGGATGGTAAAATTATGAGCTGATAAAATATTTTATTACTCATAATTTTGGCTCATGGAGGAAGTATTTTAGTATGATAATTTTTGAAAAAAATTGAAATTATTTATTAACAGTAATATTAAAAACATTGCTACATAGACAGAGACTTAGGTGTATTTGTTTGAATAGTTGTTTGATTTGATCTAAACGGAGGTTGATTTGACGTTTTGAATGTAAAATAAATTTGTAGCATAATATAAAAAAGAAAAGTAATTATTTGATTTGATAGTTTTGAAGAAAAAAAAAAATTGAATAGTAAAATTATACGGTAAAACCCACAAAAAAACACAACCTTACTTATATGCTCGATGACAGAAATACTATTGTTTTAACAAAATTCGATTCCTTGTACTAACTTCTTCTCAAAGTGATCATGCAGATGAACACAAGTACGGCGTTGTCCAGCAGTTTGTCGGTCATGGAGTTGGCCGTGTTTTCCACAGCGATCCAGTCATTCTCCATTACAGTAATGTCCCTTAACTTTTGGTCTATGCAACATCGTATAATATGCTCGATTACTACATTACTTTCCAAATGCTATTCTATTTCTCAACGACTTCGCCTTTGCTAGGGAACAAGGAGCGCGGGCGAATGGTGCTTAACCAAACTTTCACCATAGGTAACAAACAAAACAATTCCTTACATCCATCATTATTAACTATTTTTCAGTCGAAAAGGTTGTTCAATTTCCGGGATTTGGTTGAAATGGTTGCGCAGAACCAATGCTGACAGTCGGGAGCATAAACCCGATAATCTGGGACGATAATTGGACAGTGGTGACTCAAGACGGGAGCCTTTCGGCGCAGTTCGAGCACACCATATTGATTAGGGACGATGGAGCTGAGATTCTTACCAAGTGTTGAAGAAGATCATCCTCGTTTACAGACAGACAGGTTTGTTTCAAGAAAATTTAAAAATAAAAATTCTAAGGTAAAGCTTTTTTTTCCATTAAAATTGATGTTTTCATGTGATTCATGTTTTTTTTTTTTGGTAGGCATCACCAAATTGTTACTATTTATAAAGCTTTTTCTTTTCTTTTTCCTAAAGTGCTACTATTAAATAAATTTTATTTTATTTTTTAAACTAAACCCGCAAACAAACACTTTCTTAGAGATTTATTGTATTACAATTGTTATTATTTCAACTATACAACTTATAAGAATGACTCTTTTATTTTAAAAATAATTTTCAAACGAAAAATACAAAATTAAAGTTGTTACAGTGTTGAATGTAAATATTCAACAATACAGTACAAATATAATAAATGAATTAATAGTATATGATAATACTTTATGCTACATATATTGTCAATGTATCCTTTAAAATTTAAATTTTTTTTATTTTTATTTATCCAAATCATAGATATATAGTATTACAATTCATATTTTTATATTTATTTACTGACATACTAGTATTATTTTTTATTTCAATTATTTTGTGAATAAAAAACAGTATATCCATCTAAATGGCGTGTTTAATTGATGATTAGTTATATAAAAGAAGTGGTGTTGAATAGTATAAATAATCGTGAATTAAACACACCTAAATTCCTGGAAATATTAAACGAAAGTATAACAGCCGATCGTGCACGGCACGTTATTTCTTCTATTCAAAAGAACACTGCTTTCTGTGCATACAAATGGCACTTTCTTCAGACATTGAGACTGTTGTCTCCTTTCAATATTCGATTACTCTGCTGTTTCACTTATTTTTTTATTAGACAATAAATATAAAACAAACAACATAACATTATTATTATTATTGTATTATTTATTATATATATATATATATGTATATGTTAGTTTAGCTCTAAATCTACCTTTATATTTTTATGTACATTAATTATTATTTTAGGTTAATACAATTTATATTTTTCTCTCAAAAACTCATATGGCAATAAAGTTGTATTTGTTGTGGTCCGGTGATTATTCACCGGAAAAACCTGCTTGTGGCTCACACGCGCCAGACTAATCTCACACTGCCGGAAATTTGGCCCGCGAATGAGCTTCACCTCCGATGCCGATTGTTGCCATTTTCTCACCATCGACTACTGTTGTCGCCCTTTATGTTCTCGTCTGTCTTTGATTTATGCGTCATGCGATTTGAGACCGTGCATGGTTATTCATTTTGTTTATTCGTAAAATATGGATTGTATGGATGTCCACCTTTCTATTACTGTTATATTGTCCAAAAGTTATTACTCCCTTCGTTCGCTTATAAGGATTACATTTACATTTTACATTATTATACTTAACATTAAAAATATCATACACTAATGAAACTATTTTTGCAAATTTTTCTTTATTACATTTTGATATAATAATTAATATTCAAATATCAATATGTAAAAAGTAAATGAAACCCTTCGAATCGGACGAAGGTAGTATAATATTTGATGGCAGTTTATAAAAATTTATTGATTGGTAGAAAAGTTGCGACCAAGATACTCTGCCACCTATCTCTCCAAAATTGGGTATACATTTTATTACCATTTAAGGTTTTAAATGTCCTCAAATGACCAAGATGTATTCTTAGTTGGTTTGTTAAATTGTTTTGAATGAATTGTACGAATTTCATCCAATTTTAGGAAAAAAAAAAAAAAAAAGAAAAAAAGTTTACATTATTTTAGCATTTCAAATTTTAAGGGCCCTAATAATGTAATATATTGCTAGTTTGGTTCATTTAGCTGCTTCAGATTAACTGTACAAATTTTTATCAAATTTCAAAATTGATAATGAGTTTTTTTTTTTTTTTTTTTAGCATGTTTAATTTTAAGGTCCCTTAAACTGAAAAATATTGTTGGTGCTTTTGTTTGTATATTTTGAATGAACAGTGTGAATTTCATCCAATTTTGAAATAAAAAAAGAATTATTTATTTATTTTTTAGCATTTAATTATTTTTAATGGAAAAATTGAGTTGTACTGTGAGTTGGCCGTTAGGGTGATATCATAGTTAATCAATACATAGTGGGTAGTCCTAATCAATACTTCATATTTTAAAAGTATATATATATATATATATTTGATTTTAGTAAAAAATTGCATAGTAATATAATATAAATACTGATACAATATATGGTAATAGTCACCAACACATGTTATAATTTAGGGTATGTTTCTCCGGGCCTATTTGTACAGTATTTTCTTCCAAATTAGGTCGGTTCTCCAAGCATACATTTGCTGCAAATGGCAGCAAAAGATGCATTTATTTTTTAAATTTTTTTTTCAAATATTATATTTATTTAATACTTATAGTAATTATAGGGTAAAAAAATTATAATATATATGTTTTTTTATATAGAGATAAAATTTTATATAATACGAATAAATAAAAATTTAAATATATATATTTGGTATAATATAAATTTATAATCAAATCATATAATATAAATTTTATCAATTAAATTTAATAGACATTTATATTATTTTATTAATTATCCATCGAATCAATACACATCAAAAACTCCCCAAATCACAAACAAATCTAAACACAAAAGAAATAACAAAAATCAATCTCATTCCAAAATTCAAATAAAAACCAAACACAAACTCAAATTCCCCGAAACCCTACGAAGAAACACACCTCAATTCAGCATCTAACGTATATTAACACAGTATAAATTCATATTATGAGACTGGCAATATATTGTAATAAATTAATATCACACAACCTATGTATTTTTTATTATTATTTCAAATTTAAAATATTATTATTTTTAATAATAATACATTTTTCGTAAAATATTATATTAAAATATTATTTAAATTAAAATAAACAAATTTCAGAATTAATAATAATGATACAATATATTAGTTGGTGTAAGTTGAGAAATGAGAAATTAATGACGATATAATTAAATATATAACATAAGTTGCAAAAAGGAAGAGTTGAAGTAATGAATGGCATTCATTACGTACCATAAAAAGGATATAAATAAAGTAATGAATGAATTTAAATATTAAAAAAAATTAAAAAAAATTAAAAAAATACACCATTGAGATTTAGTTGGGTGTCGTTAAGTCTAAGCAAAGAGGTCCAATCATTAAAGCACAATGTACTTCTCATCAGTGCTGTCACCACTACCTCTATACAAATAATCAAATTTCGGGTTGTGACTTTGTGTAAATCTAACACTCAATAATTTTTTGGGGTTTGATTTTATATTTTATTTTTAAATTTTAGTATAAACAGTAATTTAAATATAATATTTTGTTAAAACAATATATTTTATGAAAAATCTTAATTATTACTGAACATGGAGTATTAAAAAATTGGAACTAAAGTCAAAGTGATAATTTGTTAGGACTCTTTCTCATTATATATTTTTTATTAATCATCTTTCTATTACTTTTCAAAATATTATACTTTTAAGGTTTGTTTTGTACATAATGTACCCTCCGTCATATTGAAATGATGATATTTGCTTTTTGCACTTAAATTTTTTATCATTTATTTTTTTTACGTAGATTTTCTAATATTAGTATTATATTGGATTGCAGTAGAAAAGACAAAAATATCTATGTTAGTATGGTGTAATATAAAAGTAATGATATTTGTAATATATTGTAAATTGAAAGGGTATTTTTTATGTTAAATATGCAGTACAATTACTAAATTAAGAAATTATAAATTTATTTTGGAACGAACGAAAAATGAAATATAATAACCTTTCAATAGAACGGATGGAATATAACATTTAACTATTTTTAAAACATTGAATAGATCATAAAGGTAGACTAATTTAATTTTACAAAAATTCCTTTAATAAAAAACGAATATTTGATAATTTTCTCAATTTACATGTGTTTTATTTATTTTTGTCATTGTTTATCCGCAATGTATTTTAAAAAATATTACATTCAATGCTATTTGTATCAATAAAATATTTAATTTTATTAGTTTTTTTATTAATTCATCTTTTTAAAAAAAAAAAAAAAAATCCCTAAAACAGTTTAAAATTATATCCAAATATTATATAAGGAGGAATCAAATATGAAAAGGGCCAAATTATCCAAAAATAAATATAATTATTAAAATATCAAGAATGTATTCATTAAGTCAAGCCATCGTAGATCTCAACTTTAAAAAATAAAATAAAATAAAATAATAATTCTTCTTTTTTTTATTAAATTATTTTTCTCATTAGTATCTTTTCTATTCTTGTAATTTTATTTTTTTTACCAAATGCACCCAGACTGCACATATATTTGGAATTTCTAACAATAATTTTAAAAATCAATCCAAAAGTTACTAAAATTCAATTTCTTATGCAAAGAAAGCATACGATTACTATGGCCATATAATAATGAAAATTTCCATTTAAAAGAAACTACAATGATTAGTGTTAACTAACTCTAAGAGAAAAACATTAAAATTTTGGTAATTCTTAACAAATACCCTAAATCTTAGGATTTTTTTATTTTGTATCGAATTTAAATTTTACCTTATGTAATGTTTTATTTTAAAAATTATATATTTAATTAAAAATTATTAAGATAAATATTAAAAATATCGATAAATATTAAAAAAAATTCGACAACATAGAAAAATCCGTAATGGTAAATACGGAAGTCAAAAAATTTTCCCAACGCGCCACGCGATTCATTGGCGCGTGTCGGTCGCCCCAGGTAGCGGCAGAGATAATATTCAAAAAGCACCCGGATCTCAACTCCCAAACAAGACACTGTGGAAGATTAAGGTTGGATTTTATTGGAGTTCAAACACCCTGGACCTTCCAGAAACAACCTCCGTTTCGGACGCCTGAAATCTCGATTCTATTAGGTTTGTTGAGCGAATTGCCGAATCCAATTTTTTAAAATAACCAAAAACTATAGACGATAGATTACGGCATTTAATCATATGACAAAATCAATGTTCCGAACCCCGATTAACAATCCAGCGCAAAATCGCAGCGGTGAATCCATTTAAGGATTTATTTATTTATTTTAGCAAGGAACGGTAATGGCGATGGAGCAATTTGGAGGAAGGCTGTAAAGGGGACAGAGACTAGCTGTCCGTCGCCTGTGGTCTGACTTTCTTCCACGACCGCTGTCGTTGACTCTGCATTCTTCGATTTGTTGTTTTTTCTTCGAGCAATTGCAGTATTCGAAATCGAACAAGTGATTTTAGTGCCGTTCGACAAAACCCCTGTTTTGATCTTGTCTGGTTTTTCTTGGGAGGTTTAATGGCGGAAGACCTCTGTCTCTTCGCGAAGGTAAATTCCTTTTGTGCTTTTTACAGCTCCTCTTTACTGATTTCGTCTCTGGATTTTGAATCAATGTTGGAGGTTTTTTATGGATTGAGGATTTTGAATTTGGTGAGGTTTAGGGTTAGGGTTTTTGAAGCGCATTTGAAGGATTTGGGAATTGTTCTGTTTTGCACGATTCGTTTAATTCATAGATGCAAAAAAATTGATTTTTATTTACCTCTTTGAAATTTGTAGCTATTTTATTGTTATCGTTGTCAAATCCCCAATTTTTTTGAACTGCAAATTTGTTGCCCTAGTTTTTTTATCCGTTGTTTTGATGTTCTTTGAACTTTCATTGCACCATATGAACTAGTTAAATTGATGCAATGATTTCTGATAAACTAAAATCTTGATCTGAAATAGTGACCGATGTGTTTGATTCGATGATTTCGAAGGAAAAAAATTGATGAATAGTGCGAGGATTCGAGGTGATATAAATAAGTGGCTACGACGACGATGTTTTGAATGTAAAATTAATTTTTAGTACAATATAAAAAATGAAATAGGTAGGCGTTTGATTTGATGTGACGAACGTCTGATTTCCTTTAGGAGACGGCGATCGTTATAAAGCCTCCCAAGAAATCGCCGGCGTCGTTGAGAGTATTAGTCTTAGTATTCGCGATGGTTTGCGGCGTTTACATATGTTCGATCAGTCTAAAGCAAACTAATGATCGGATCACCGCTAAGTACCTAAATGTCCAAGTTAATTGGAGTCATTGTCGCGACAATACTATTGATCGGTCCCAAATTCCATACTTGCACTATCCCCGGCCCTCCACGTTTAGCCGGTAATGTAATGTAATTTTTCACGTCTTTAATTACGAATCGATGATTTTAGCACGACGATGATCTGATTGGATTCGATATTTTCTTTTCGAATGTAGAGCGGAGTGCGGCTGCAATCCCGTCCGTCTATTTGCAATTATTTCGATGCAGCGATCCGGGTCCGGCTGGTTCGAAACTTTGCTGAACAGCCATTGCAACGTGAGTTCGAACGGAGAAATATTCTCGGTGAAAGAAAGGCGGAGTGACGAATCTTCGATCTTGGCTACTTTGGACCGGGTTTACAATCTCGACTTTTTTACGAGCGCGTCGAAGAATCAGTGCTCCGCAGCCGTCGGATTCAAGTGGATGCTCAATCAGGTAATTCCCGACGTTTTCTATCCGAAGTTTCGATAGTTGGTAACTAATATTTTTCGGTAATTTAGGGAGTGATGGATCATCATAAAGTTATCGCCGAGTATTTCAACGATAGAGGCGTTTCGGTTATATTTCTCTTCCGAAGAAATCTGCTGCGTCGGATGGTTTCGGTTCTTGCTAATTCATACGATCGGTATGCGAAGCTCTTGAACGGGACACACAAGTCGCACGTCCACTCTCACGAAGAGGTTCTCGTCTCGATATCAAGCCTACATTTTGTGTTCTTACGCTTATCGTGTGATCGATTTCTTGACGTAAAATTTCTTTTTTCAGGCTGAAACTCTGTCTCGATACAAACCGACGATCAATTCGACGTCGCTTGTAACCGATTTGAAGCTCATGGAGAAGACGGTTATGGAGGCTCTTGAGTACTTCAGCAGCACCCGACACATCGTCCTGTATTACGAAGATCTCGTAAAAAACCGTACTGTAAGTTAACCACGCCATAACTTCGTCCGTATGTTTTTCGATTACATCTCACCGTTCGTCGCCGCATCGCAGAAGCTCGTCGACGTGCAAAACTTTCTCGGGTTGCCAGTGACGGAGCTAACGAGTCGACAGGTGAAGATACACAGAGGATCATTGTCGGATCACATTATGAATTGGGATGACGTAAATGCGACTTTACGAGGGACGAATTACGAGAGGTTCCTTAACACTGACTACTCGACTAATTAAAAAAGAAAAAAGGAGGGTTCATCGATCGGGTAAGTTAAAAAGCATTCGATTTCTTCGTTTGGACGGATTTTAACTAATCTTAGTTTTTGGCTTCTTTAGCGTTTTTTTGATTTGTTGCCCAATTTTTCTACATCTACGGGTCGTTTAATTCTAAGCGTTCGAGGATGTGTATATAGGCGCGCTCTTTTAACTTAATGTACAATATTTGCTAATGAATGGAAATCTCGAAGCAGTTTTTCACTACACCCTTTTGATATGACATATGTTGTCTCGACGGAAATTTCTATAAATAGCCGTATGATCGAGATTGAGTAGCCATTACTTGGGTGTATTGGTTCTTGAACTTTAGGGGACTTGTGAATTCATTTTTCAGCGAAGATTTTCTTACATTGTCGGAGATGAGTAGATTAAGACGAGCGAAAAGGTTGTCCTGATTTTGCAAAATTTATGGTTTTCGGAATTGTAGGTCTTCATGATAAGCCCATGAATCATGATTCTTGTTGTCCTAACTCGTAACTAGAATTATTGGGATGTTGTTTTGGTTTCCTTCTTACCTACCTACCTACCATGTGTGAAATAAGTTTGTTGCAGAAAATTTTGTAGGCCAAGTAGAGATGGATGTGTTTTTGTTTTGAATGAAAAAGGTAGTATGGAATAACATAATTATATTTATTTTTATCTTATCTTAGAGGGTCTCTTGTATGAAAGAAATGTTCTGTACGTTTACCAATACTAATTTTTTAAAGAATGATTTATGAGGGCGAATTCGGATTTGAACAGTAAAAATTTTGAATTTGAATAGTTGTATGATACGATATAAATAGATATTGACTAAAATTGATTTTTATTATAATATAAAAAATAAAAAGTGTTTGATTTGATAGATTTTTTTTTTAAAAAAAAAGAAGAAGAAAAAAGAGAGAGATGAATACTATATTTAATATTCAATCCCCTAAACAAACACACCCGTTTAGTCGACGATTAAAAAAAAATAATAAATAAAAATCGACCAACTGATCTAGGACGGGATGAGTATTATATTGAATATATATATATATGGCATGTAAAACTTGAAATATTAATATATTGAATATTTATTTTTATTTAAAATATTATATTAAAAATGGGGTGTGTTTGGACGTGAGTTTGGATTTTATAATAGTAAATATTTGAAATTAAATAGCTGTTTGTCATGATATTTCTAATGTTTAAATAAATTTTTAATATAATATAAAAAATTAAAAGTAATTATTTGATTTGATAGGTTTAAAGAAAAAAAATTAAATAGTAAAAATTTATAAAAAAAGAATCCACAAAAGAACAATTATGTTTTGAAATAATAAAATTTTGAATGTAATAATTATTTGATATGATATTTTAAAATATAAATATTTTTTGTTTTTCTTTTATAAAAGTTAAAAGGTATTATTGTTATATACTTGTATTAAAATCTTATTTGAGTACATAATTGAATAATATAGTAAATACATTATAATATTTATTGAAACCATATAAATAATTATCTCAATCCAAACTTTATACTCTTCTTCCCCAAATTTGTTCTTTGTAAGTTTGCTAGCTCCACTTTAATGAATAGTTTCCTTTAAGGGTTTATTCACTAGCTATCTTTTTTCTTTTTTTTCTTTATTATATATATATTTTTTTATGATATAATTCCTAATACTTCCTTCGCATTTTAACAATATATTCATTTTTTTATTTTGATCCATCTCATAACAAAGTATCCATTTTTTTTTTTAGTAATTGTATATATCTAATATTACAAATACCTTTCCAATTTACAATATATTACACAAATTTCATTACAATACTAATAGGTTTAATTTAGTCTTTTTATATTTATTTCTACTTTATCCCAATATAATACTAATATTTCTAAAATTCCGTACAGAAAGCAAATAGATACCTAGTTATGGGACGGAAGGAGTATATATTTTATCTTTTCACATAAATCAACTATTCTCTATAGATCACATTGAAAAAAAAAAAAAAAAAACATCAAATGATAATACTAAACAAAAAAAATCCTAAATGTTAATTATAGTATGAACGTTAAGAATATTTTAACATTAAAATGATATTTTCTCCATTTCATCTAATTTGTCCATTCGCTCTATTTTAATTTGTCATTTCAGTTTTTGAAAATATAATTATAACACTTTAATCACACTTTTCAAATTTCATATTTTATAATTTTTTTATTTTAATTAAACTATTTAGTCAGTTTAATTTTAATCTATAATTGTTATTATTATATCATTATTTTTTTTTATTAATATACTTTCTAATTACTTACTAATTACATAATACTTAAAACTTAAGTATTCCAAAATTATATTTTTTATATTTAACTGTCTATTTATTAAGATTATACTCCTTCCGTCCCACCAAATTAGTTACTTTTCCTTTTTTGGTCGTCCCATCACTTTCCTATTATAGTAATAATTAATAACTAATACTTCTAATTAAAAAAACTTAACTATATTTATTAACTTACTAATATGTTTAATTTTATTATTTGTTAATTGTAAATTTAGAAGTTGGGCTAAAATTTTGAATAATAAAAATAAAATAAATATTTAATATTATATAAATAAATATTTATTTAAAATTAAATTTTAATGTAATATATAATAAAAATTTGATGTTTGATTTGAAAATTTATGTCTGAAAAATTAATTAAAAATGAGACTTGATATTGATTTTTTTCTTTATTTAAAAAAATAAAAAAATAGAACTTATTTATAATGCAAAATTATAAATTTATTTTTAATTTTGGTATTTGACGTAAAATATTATATTATAATACTGTGTATACAATTCAGTTAGAGATAGTTTGAGATAGTATACCGAAAATATCGAAATATAATGTATACCGTACCAAATTTTTTAATTTATTAAAAAAAGATATCGATATTGTATCGAAATTTTAAAAATTTTTCGGTATTTGTTTTTTAGAGTATGCATGTTATTTCCGTAAAAAAAATTCGGTATTTTTTTTACGAGTATGCATATTATTTTTGTAATTCAGTATTTTTATTTCGTAAATTCAGTATACCAAAATATTTGTACGGTACAGTAAGATCTCATACCAAAAATTTTGTACCATATATATGTGATGTGATATTAAATTTGGTATGTCATAACGAACTATTTTTAACAACAACCAAATTCAAAAATTTTTATGTATTGTCTATATAATTATTTTTTTATTACATTTAATTATATGGGTAGGTAAAAATAGTGTAATGATATATTTGCCCTTACTTTTTTTTTTTTGTATAAAAGTAATGATGTGATGTAAAGTAGGGATATTTGTAAGAAAAATGGAGTATTTAAATAAATGGTTACTTTGTAATTGGACGTCCCAAAATAAAAATATGTATACTTTCTAGTTGGACTGAGGGAGTATAATATAAAAGTAAATACTCCTTCCGTCTATTGAAATGTTACTATTTTCTATTTTTATCCGTCTCAAAACAAATTACCATTTTCTAATTTAGTAATTGTATTACCTACTTAACATAATAAATAGTCTTTCAACTTATAATATATTACACAAATGCCATTATTTTTATATTACAATATGAATATTTTTATCATTTTTACTACAATTCAATATAATACTAATATTAAAAATTTTACATGCAAAAAACAAATATCACCCGTCCAATGAGATAGAGGGAGTATTATATTTGGAGGAGACAAAAGGAGTGATAAGCAAGTAGAGAAACTGAGAAAGAGATGGGAAGGACAGTACGTAGTGGAATCACACTTGACTCACTAACACACATCATCATCACTCACTTCCTACACACACATTCAACTAATTATATATACGAGAGAACAAATATATTCAAGTATAATTAATTTATCTCTAATTTAATTATACTGAAATATATATATATATTATAGTTTAGAATTTCATATCAAATTAATAAACAAATAATTGCATTTAATATTAAAAAATTAAATAATTTCTTATATATATATTTTGCTATTACGATATTTAAAAACTCCCGCAAACTTTTCTCTATACTCATGTTTTTATTTTTATCATTCTAAAAATATTTTAAACAAAAAATAAAGATACTGTAATAATAATAAAATAAAAATTATTAATATTATATTACTTTAAAAAATGGTATTCAAAGTAAAACGTGCAAAATTTAAAGGAAATAAAATAAAATATTATATTATATATATATTCATATTTTTGTTGGAAAATATAAAAATAATGTATTGTATTGTATAAAAAGTAATATATTGAGTGTGACATTTCTTAAAAAAAAATAAAAATGATAAATGTTAAAAAAAAATGGATTGCGCAATCAATATATATTTCATAATTTGTGACCGTGAGATCATGGGTTCAAACCCCCGACGCCTCAGGTCACTTGCCACACATGGTTCGCCTAGTGTGACTTTCCCGTCGGGCCAGGTTTGCAGGGTATTAGGTTCGGCCGGGGGTTTATCAAGTGTGCACTTTCGGGTAGCAGTTGCGGATTCCCACGTCATTCAAAAATATATATATATTTCATAATTTCAGTAATATTCATATATATATAATTACAAACAAATAATATATATATATATATATACATATGTGTGTGTAATTTTCAAGAACAGCATGATCCTATGTTGAAATCGTAGCCGATTTTATACTCCATATCCGAAATTTATGACATGATGACATCTACATGTGTCTTAAGTAAATTGATCATGATACATTTGTTGGTGTCTTCTTTTAAAGTTTTATTTCAATTTTTCTTTATTATATATTTACTGCAATTTTTTAATAAAAATAATATTATTTTATTTTACAAATATTAATGATCTTACAATTACGAATCTACCTCCATACCATTAGGTCATCAATCGGGGAACTTGAGTGGATTCTTTTTATTTATTGCTTTTTTGGCTCCAATTCAATCGTAATTTACTTTTATTATTATTATTTTTTTATTGACCAAAATATTATCTCATATCTCACCATTGACTAATAAATTTGATGATATTTTAAATTTTTTAATCTTAAACAAATTTACTAAAATGTTTTTTGAGACAATTCAGATTACACAAAATTAAAAAATACTCCCATTGTTGAAAATTATCAACAAAAAAAAAAGGCAGATGCAATAATTATAAGTGGGACTAAATTAAGGAAGATTGGACATCACTGACGTCGCATGTAAAAACTGATAGCATTTTATTCATAAAAA